AGTAAAAGATGATGTCTCTTAAAGCAATCTGAACTTAATAGCACATACCCATTCAACACACAATCTTATTCCTCTGTCCTAAACAACCATCTTAAACCTGCAAGCCAGTACATATATCTATAGAGGACTGTAAGCAGAGTTTAAATAAACTTGCCTTGGGTTAAAAAATTACTCACAAATTACATACATTTAACCTAACTGCCTCCACCATTTTTCACCAGATAAAAGGTTTCATTGTCACCAACTGCTGCTGACACTCCCAGGGTCTTTATTTTTCCCAGTATTACACTCATGATTCCCAAGAGGTGGTGCAGGGCTTATATGTGCTGTGAAGTTTTTTAGTGTCCTTCTACACAGAGGTGTAGCTTTATGTAACTTTACATCTCTGAAGTTTTGAATTTATTTTAGCAACACTGTCTGAACAGCCATTGCAAATCAACTCTTACAGGAGCCATGCTAATGTATGATTGGGTTATTGCCACCACTTGCAAAGCTTAAGTGGGAAAGAACTTGGCCTTGCAAGGGTGCTCAGCCAGCCCTCTGACACATATTGCTCAGTCACTAAGTACATCTCAGTCCATCAGCAAAAAAAATGCTTGTATGCCATTTCTTCTATTATAACAAAATACCTACTACCTACTTGGAATTCATATGCATTAAAGAATTTGTTAAAAGCTTGGATTTATCTTTGTCAAAAAGAATCATAATGACTTGAGCACCCTGGCTATAGGAATACCTTATCATTCAAAGACATACCTAATTGTGTTCAAACATTTATCATACATGCCAGTCCCTAGCTGCCCTCAGTTATTCTTCTGCAGTCTTTTCATAATCTACCTTCTGGTACAAAACAAGACTTAGCAATGTTAACAGACTATATCATAGATCCAGTGGCTGTCCCAAGATCCAAAACCAAATGCAATCTAAAAAAAAAAACCAAACCAACCACTTAAAATAAAATAAAAATACTTAAAGAAGTCAAAGTTATACAATGCCAATCAACTGAGGGGGAAGAGTAACATAATTAGGATCTGTGGGATCTGAGAGAAAAAAAAAACAGGGGATATTTCTAGCAATAAAAAACCCTGAACTTGCATGAACTTGCACTGATCTAAATGATTAATCCTAACAGATACTCCTCACTTTGGCCAGGATTGGAGACAGCGGGACCAAAACCCAGAAAAGGTCTATCTGAAAGGCTCAGTTCCACGTGAAGATTTCCCATAGCCCAGGCCATGCAGAAGACAGAACCATTTCACAAAAACACACTTGAGAACCATGTGAAATGGCTTTTATATAGGAATGATTAAATAGACTTAAGACTTCAGCTTGACAAAAACACAGTGGCAAGAGATAATACAGGTCCGTCAAGGCATGACTGCACGTCGAGGGTGAAGAGGGAACAATTCTCCATGTTCTCCCAAAAGAGGAACTGGGGGTTGGGGTGGGGAATCAAATGAAACCATGAAGTATCCAGGTTCAAAAACAAATAAAGAAAGGTCCTTCTTCAAGCAGCTGTGGAAGTTATAACCACAGGATGCTGCAGATGCAGTTTCCCTAAACATAAAAAAGCCATCTCAGGTGACCCAAACCAAAGGGAAGTCCTTAGCTGTGACCAGCGGGATGGCAGCTAGGAGAGTAAGCCATAGGAATATCAGTAATTGTTTAACCTGTTATTTGATTTTTCCCCAGATAAAATGTAGTGGGTCAGACCAACCTTCTGATCATGCCCTGGCACAGAAAGGGGCTGTAGGATCTCTGACGCATGAGCATTTGCTGCATCTGTGACACTAGCAGAGCAGCAGAGTACATAGTCATAACTCAAGCAAGCCTCTAAGATACAAGAGAAGATTAGTCGTTTGACAGAAAACAGCTTGAAACCAGTGAAACCAGTTCAGCATCTCCTTTTCCTCTCTTCCATGTCCAAAGACTGAGTTTCATGGTGCACTCTCCAAGGCATAAGGTAGTCGCTTCTCCCCTAGCCTGACCCAGGAAAAGGCATTTATTGTATTACTAATACTCAGTTAAAGAAATCCATGTTATTTTCTTGCATGGACCTAGCTCTCCACAGCTGCACAACACATGAGGTGTTTAGGATCACAACAGCCATCATAAATTCCCAAGAGCAGAACTGCACACATTAAAACCAGCAAACCAGAGGGGAAAAAATGCTACCACTTGTGCTTGCTTCACAAATCAAAAGTATCAGATGTATAACCTGATGAGGAAATAAGGAATTCTTCCTATGATACTTAACAATTGAAATTTAAAGGATATTGAGTCGCACTGAGGTTAAAATGTCCTTTTCACTCTCTAACACTCACAACTTAAACTGTTAATTACCACACAGTAATAGCCACAACTTAAATATGTGTAACAACCAGATACAGTAGATGAAAGAAAATACATTCAGGGGAAAGACACAAAACTAAAGAACCTACATTTTCAGATTCCAGTTCCATGCCCTGACACAGACTCCCTACACCACCTTGGAAAAATCATTTGCTGCCTCTTGCTTCAAATTCTATACATAAAATGGAGGCAACGCCACTTCATTACCTCATCACAATCTTGCAACAATAAACCAAAGATTGTGAAATGTCCGTAAGTTCCCGGAGTGAAGGTCATACAGAAGCCTTCCATAGGTAAGAGCAACAAATGTTTTTAACTAGTGTTAAAGTATTTTATTATCCTTGCAAATGGAGCAGTCCTGCAGCTTTAAGTCACCAAGTGAGCTCCAATGAGGCTGCCAAGGAAAAACTGTGTTTGCCTGTTTATTCTGTGAACTAGTGTGCAGTGATAGTACTGACATTCTCACATTAAGAAAAAAGGAATGTAATATGCATACTTTTGTGCACTGAATGCCTGACAGGGTTTGTTTTTTTTTTTTAATACGAAAGGAAGCTTGTAGGGTCTTGTTATTTAATAGTACCACAGAGATTATCAACGTACTGTAACATCACAAAATTTGTTCACAGAGGATAGAGTTCCCACCCTGCAGTGAACCAACAAAAGACCACTTAAACTCCAATTCCAGCCTTCACGGTTGAGCCAGTGAAAGACTTCTGTTAGCACCACACAAGGATATCTTTCTGGACTGTAATATAAAAAGCACTTTTGTCTTGAGGGCATTTCCTTCAAGGAAAATTGCACAAAAAAAGTCAAGGGAATCTATTATAATCTGAAGTCCGAAGCAATCTCTCTTATTTACTACTTGTTGATTCGAGTAAAACTAGATGGTAGCACATTCTTCTATTTCCACGGTTTCTAAAATCAAGAAAGCACACACAATTTGGCTGTTTTGTTAAAATAAATTCATATCACACTTTACTTTTGTACCCAATAGGTATGAAGATACACTGAATTCAGAGAGTGAGTTCTTCTATGAACCAGGAAGCAAACAACAGGACTGCATCACTTCTGAAAGTCAGTCAAGCAATTAACAAATATGAAAACAGAGAAAATGATTAGCATTCAAGAGATTCCAATAAATAAGCAGACATGAGATGACCTGCAAGTATTAAGGAAATTAAAAAAAAAAAAAAAAAAATCAGCTTGGTCACAAAGCTATGCCTTCAAAAATTGGTTACAGGAAAAAATAGGTTCCTTAAAAGAAACTACAGGAAAACTACACGCTGAAGAGTAGAACAAAGGAGGGTAAAAAGTCAGCACCGAGTACGAGGTTTTCTGCTTTTCTCTCCTGTACAAAACACGCACAGAAATCAAAGATGTTAAACCTCAGCCTCTGTTCCTGACTGGGGACCTGCAGGATCATCCCTGTGCCTACCGAGCTTCAACTGGAGGAGTGGAAAGTTGGATCCGTAACAAAGATCATTTTTCCACCGACGGTTTAATTTTAGAAAGGCGCTAACAAAAGGCACCGCTCTAAATACCCCAAACGCGTTATTTCCCTTCCCAAATCATCAGAGTCTGATTCCTTCTGGAGAGGCGATGCCGTGACACAACCAGCGCTTTACTCCGCCGCTCCAGCCGAATAAACAGCCCTTCCTGCCTAGAAAAAGCCACCCCACAGCCCGATGCCATGAAGCGACAAGGAAGCAGCCGCTGCGGGAAGGCCGCGGGGCACGGGGCTGGCCGGGGGCAGGTGCCCGCCCCTCACCGCGGCGGGGGAGGCGAGGGCGCCCGGGCGGCGCAAACCCGCGCACGGCGGCGTTTCCAACCGCGGGCTCTTTGCCGCCGCGGCACACGCCCGACCCCGCCATGGCCGCCGCGCACAGGCCGCGCATCTCAGCCCGCCCCGAACGGCCCCGCCGCAGCCCGCGGACGCCGCCCGCCCGGACAAGCGCCGCCGCGGGGCTGGAGGCGCTTCTCCTGCCCGGCGGCGGCCGCGCTCGACCGCGGGGCGGGGCGGGGCGGACCGGCCCCGGCCCCGGCCCCGGCCCCGGCCGTGAGGGGCGCCCGCCCGCCGCACCTGTCGGGTGGTTGCGCGGTCCGGCGAGGGGAGGGCAGTCGCGGCAGCGGCGGCGGCGGCAGCAGCAGACAATGGAGGAGTGAAGGACAGACACATTGACACACGGGCGCCAGTGCGGCCGCCCCCTCAGCCCGGGCCGCCCCACTCCCGCCATCCCTTTGGGGGAGCACGGAGGAGGAGACGCAGGGTAGCCAGAAAAGGGGAGCAAAAAAAAAAAAATTAAAAAAAGAGAAAAACACGTTTCTCGTCTTCAAAATATGGGATGAAAGAGGAACAGCTTCCTTCTCTCCGGTTAGGAAGTCGGCGGAGGGGGCAGCTGGCCCCAAATCCCCCCCGGCTCGGCGGGAATGGTTTACCCCTGACAAGGCGGAGCGGTGGGAGGAAGCGGCCATGAGGAGCTGGGCGGGGCGGCGGGCTGGCCGCGGGGGGCCTGGGGGTGCAGCAGGGCCCGGGGTGTCGTCACGGCCGGGCTGAGCTCGCCTCGCCGCGCCTTACCGTCTGTGGGAGGCGGAGGGCCACGATGGCTCCCCCCAGGAGAGGTGACCTGAGCCCGGAGGAGAAGGACTTGCTGGGGGTGATCGCTACAGGTGAGCCCGGCCCTCGCCCCTCCGCGGCGGTGGGCGGTAGTGCCGCCGCCCCGGCGGGCCCGGCCGCGGTCCCGGCGCCTTCACCTCCCCGCCGCCGGCCGACGAGGCTGTGCAGCGCTCTGCCCTCCCCTGCCGCCGCTCCGCCGGGCCTCGCAGAGCCCGGGCGGGCCCCCGCCGCATCGGTTGTGCCCCGGGCGGGTTTGCTGCTTTGGCCCCCGCCGGCGTTAGTTACCGGCCGCGCCGCCGCCTCGAGCGGCTGGGCTCCGCGGGGCGCCTGCCCTCCCTCCCTCCGCCCCGGGCCCCCGCTCCCGGCCGCGGGCAGCGGCTCCTCCCCGGGCACGGCAGCCCGCTCCGCTCCCGCGCTGGCCGCGCCCCGTGGGGCAGGCGGGCCGCTTGCCGGGCGCGGAGGGGGTGCGCGTTCCTGTGCCGCTCCGGCTGGGCAGGCACAACGGGGAGGGTCTAACGCTGCCAAGGACAGCTTGCATCTTTCTTGTGTCTATTCATATCAGTAACGCGCATTAACATTTATTTAATGACTTTTATCAATGTGCCGTGCAAAAAAAAAAAAATGCTTCCTTTGGGATAGTCCAGTTATTTAACCTGTCATAGGTTTCCCTATGTGCTATTGCCAGACCAGGATGTCCTTGCACACAGGGTGTTCTTAAATTAACAGAACTTGAGCTTGTCTAAGGTATTGTGCACCTCTTATCCCGTACACTGTTTTATTTTATGTCTTTGTTGGAGACACGGACAGTGGCACTGAGTGCACCCTCAGCAAGTTTGCTGGTGACCCCGAGCTGTGCGGTGCGGTCGCCGTGCTGGAGGGCAGGGATGCATCCAGAGGGGCCTGGACAGGCTGGAGAGGTGGGACTGTGTGAACCTCATGGAGTTCAACAAGGCCAAGGGCAAGGTCCTGCCCCTGGGTCGGGGCAATCCCAAGCCCAGATACAGGCTGGGCCATGTGTTGGGGCAGCCCTGCAGAGGAGGAATTGGGGTTATTAGTGGCTGGAAAAGTGACTGTGAGCCAGCAATGTGTACTCGTGGTGTAGAAAGCCACCAGTGTCCTGGGCTGCATCAAGAGAAGTGTGGCCAGCAGGCTGAGGGGGGGGATTCTGCCCCTCTGCTCTGCTCTTGTGAGACCCTGCCTGGAGTACCGTGTCCAGCTCTGGGGCCCCCAACATAAAACAAACATGGATCTGCTCAGAGTCCAGAGGAGGTCATGAAGACGCTCAGGGGGCTGGAGCACCTCCTTGATGAGGCCAGGCTGAGAGAGTTGGGGTTGTTCAGCCTGGGGAAGAGAAGGCTCCGGGGAGACCTTATAGCGGCCTTCTAGTACTTAAAGGGCGTACAGGGAAGGTGGGGAGGGACTCTTCATCAGGGAGTGTAGGGATAGGATGAGGGGTAATGGTTTTAAACTGAAAGAGGGCAGATTTAGATTAGATATAAGAAGGAAATTATTCACTGTGATGGTGGTGAGACACTGGCCCAGGGTGCCCAGAGCAGCTGTGGCTGCCCCCTCCCTGGAAGGGTTCAAGGCCAGGTTGGACGGGGCTTGGAGCAACCTGGGCTGGGGGAAGGGGGCCCTGCCCGGGGCGGGGGGATTGGAATTAGATGATCTTTAAGGTCTCTTCCAACCCAAACCACTCTATGATTCTATGAATTTTGCATTTTATGTAGGTGTTGCAGTTTCACCATGTTATACAGTTCATACACTTAGTGCTGTCACACTTGCTGTAACAGTTGGGTTTCATGGTCCAGTAACATGAAATTTGCAGCCCTGTCTAGTTATATTCCAAATGGTATTTTGAAAATTTTGAGTGATGTTTGTTAGTCAGAGGTAAACTAAAAATACCTGATGTGCTCCATGTGTTTCTATATGTAGTTTTGAGGCAATTTGAACCCATAAGAAATTTTATTTGTAGTTTGGCGACTTCACTCTCAATTATATTAAAATGTTCCTCTGTGTCAGAGACACAAGCATAGGGCAGTCAGCAATGAATTTATTGTGGATCGAAGTCAAGTTTGACTGACTCATGTTAATCAGAGTTTTGGGCCTTCATCTTGCAGACACTTCTATCTAACTTACGTGATGCTTATGATTAGGGTCATGGGATAATTCAGGTTGGAAGGGGCTTCAGGAGGACTCTAAGCTAACATCCTGCTCAAAACAGGTCATCTGTGAGGTCAGACAAGATTGTTCAGGGCTTTATCCTATCATGCCTTGAAAACCTTCAAGCATGGAGACCGCCCAGTGGCTCTGGGCAACTTGTTCTGCTGCTTTACTGGGCTCATAGTGAAAATGTTTTTCCTTTTACCCAGTCTGAAGCTTCTTTTTCTTTCAACTCCTGCCTGTTGTCTCTTGGCCTCCTACCATGCACTACTATCAACAGCCTGGCTCCATCTTTAAGCTCTAGTCAATTCTAGAAGTCTGACTTCCATCAGCTTAGTGTCTTGTTTGGAAATCCTTCAGTGTTTTGTCATACAGAACTATGAACTTGTAAATGCAACTTTTCTCTTTGCTTTACTTGCATTAAAATTTACTTTGAAGATCACCCCTTGAAGACTTGCTCTTTCTGATGTTTGTTCTTTTACTGGGATGTTCTTCTGAAAACTACTCCAGGTCCTGAGAAGCTTCTCACATGTTTAAAATATATATATATATACACACACGTATATTTGTATACATATTTGTATATACATATGTATATTTGGGGGAGTAGGTTTGTTGAGAGCTTCCTGTCAGTGTATTTTACTGGGTCTTTATCAAGTGTGTGAGATGACTCAGGTGACTGGCTTTTTTCCCTAAAATAATTAATCTTTTTTTTTTTTTTAAATGGGTAAATAAACTTGTTTAGTATAGCTAAACCACACCAAAAGCTTCATGAAAGGAAATTGTTTCTAGTATTTGTAATGTTTTTTTTGAGAGAAAATGAGTCAAAACTGAAGTTGCAAGAGCTGCTTTGTTGAAAATTTGCTGGAAGAGCACCTCCTTGTGATACAGTGAAGATAAACATGAAGACTGTCATTAAAATGAGGGCTGTAATGCTTATTTTTATTAAGCATATGTCTGCTGAAAGAGCTTAGCTTATGATTGAATCAGTGATCAGAAGCTTCTATTAATTTGCAGTAAACATAATTCCCTAAATTTAGACTCTTTGAATGTTCTGTTATTTCTGTTTGTTTGAACGCCTGGTGAAGCTGCACTGACATTACTGAATAGCCTTATCACTAAGCGTGATGATTTATTGGTAGTCAGTCTACAGTCTAAGTGGTTAATCTACAGAGATCAAAGATTTTGATTCTAATCATGAATGGAACGGATCTTTTTCCTCTTGATTCTCAATTTGTTCCCTTTCTTACCCCCCTTTCTCTTTGTGTCTTTTTTTTTTTTTTTTTTTTTTTTTTTTTTTAATTAAAGGAAACACTGAAGAGGCTGGAAGGCTACTGGGCAGCAAGAATGTCCGTGTCAATTGCTTGGATGAGGTACAGTGAAACTGTTTAAGCATTGTGCTGGGTTTAGCAAGGAAAATACTAGGTCTGAAGGCCTTCTTGTTGTTAAATAGCATTGCTATACAGACTTCTGGAAATTAGAGTTATTCTGAAGATAATTCCAGCCTGCAGCTGAATAATGAACCTTTGAAGAGCTCTTACTTTTTTTTTTTTTTTTTAAGAAAGTTTAAAGATTAATGTTACTTAAAGTACTACACTATATTTTCTGTCAAGTTCCAGCAAGAACTTTGATGTCTGTAAGGTAAGATGAACACTGCAGCAAGACACATGGAGGTGCTTCCTGATTTCTTGTCACCTCCACCAAACTGTAGTTCATCTGCTTAGATAGCAGCAGACAGTGTGGATAAAGAATACGTGTCCCCATCTCATGCTTGTATCTCATTGCCCAAAGCCTTATCTTTGCAGAACCTTAACAGTACCCAGTTAGTTCAGAAGTGGAAAACACACGTCTTGCAGAGGCAGGTGTGGTAGACATGTAGAAGATAAAATCCCAAAGTGCTACCTGAAGATGGGAGGAAGTTTGTGGAGAAAGGAAACTTGTGTGATGCTCACAGGCTTCTTCTTTTTCTTTTTCCAATGTTTTTTTAAAGTATCCAACATTAATAAGAAGTGTAACATGGAAGCAAAACTGTAATTGCCCACCATGCATGTTAGATCATTGTGTAATTTATCCACTTAAATGGCAATCTGTGTTTTTTCCCAACTTTATCATTTCATAGGATCACTGGTAAATTCAGGCTAGAAGAGACCTCAGAAGGTCTCTAGTTCAGCCTCCCAATCAAAGCAGCTTCAGCTCCAAGGTCAGATGAGGTTGCTCTGAGATTTATCCTGTCTGGCTTTGTAAATCTCCAAGGATGGATAATGCACAATATTTTGGGGCAACATGTTCCACTGCCTTATTGTGCTTATGGTCAAAATGTTTTTCTGTATGTCTGAACCTGTCTTTCAGCTTAGGCTCATTGTCTCTTGCCCTCCTCCCACTGTAACTGAAGAGTTTGGCTCTATCATCTCAGTCCTGTAGGCACTGGCAGGCTGCTGTAGGGTCCCACCAAAGCCATCTCTTCTCCAGAGTGAACAAGCCCGGTTCCTGCAGCCTCTCTTCACTGGACAAGTGCTAAAGTTTCCACCATGTCTTGGTGGTACTCTGCTGAACTTGCTGTAGTTTATCCATGTCTTTGTTGTACTGAAAGGCCAAAAACTGGACTGGTAGATGTGTTCTCATGAATGCTGAATGGAGGAAAATTATCACTTTATCTACTGGTTTTCTTTGTAGAATATTGTTAGTCTTTCTTCTACTGCCAGCAGATCCATTTTCTGATTGTTCTTAAATACAGTTAAATATTTAAACTTTAATTTCTAATGTATGAGTTTTGACAAGCTTCTGACAAACTAGTCAAACTGAGCTTTAATGTAAACTTTGGGAACCCAGGATACCATGTAAGTATGTTTGTAAGAGTGCTTTATTGTATGGACTTCAAAAGCTCTTCTTTTATTGTAATTGCTGAACTAGTGTTGAATGACTGCACCCTTGATGCAGTACTAGTGCAACATGCAGAATTGCTGTTGAAAGGTTATGGTTTATTAATAGAAACCATAACTGAGTTATGCCTCAGGCTATTGTTAAAGAAGAAATAGTTTTAACAATATGTGCCTAATGCTCACATCTGACTAAATATGTCCAAGGCACATGAGACTTAAAAAGTTCATGCAGTGCACTTCTTGCAATCTCCTTGTTATCCCCAGGAGCGGTGTGTAATGATGCATCTTGAGCAGAAAATCATTCAGATTTTTCTAGGATTCTTTAATCCATCAGTCATCTCACATTAACTTTTAGAACTTTTCGATTATAAACCACTTTCCCTCTAATGTGTTATTCTAATATCTATACATAAATAGAGTGTATGAAACCCAAGTAAACAGTTTCATCTGTTATTCAGTGTTGCCACAACTGGAGTCTGCTTTGAATGCATCAGGTCTTTGAATGCATTTTCTTCCTCTGCTGCCTTAGCTGTTTATCCTGAAATTCACATTATTACTTCTATTACTACTGTTACTTATTTTAGTAATGTTAAGAAATGAGGAAAAATCCCTGAAAATCAAATGCTTACATACTGAAATGGGAGCACAATTCAGTTGGGAGCTAAGAACTCATTTCCTTCCTTAAAGTCCTTTTTTACATGAGAGAATCCACAGAATGAGCACAGGTTTAACGTAATTCTCTCTTCTATTTGTGGTACAGCAAACATGCAGTCACAATTTAATGATTTCCACAGGCTGAAGAATCCACAGCATCCAGAAGCAGGCTGTTACATATTGCACTTCCTGATTTTAAAAAATAACCACATAATATGTCCCTTTAATTTTTGGTTTGACCATATATTCTAACTGCTCAGAACTTCTTTCTTCTAGGTTAAAGACTACTAACAGTTAGTAATGTTTTCTATATGTACCTTTAACAAGGAATGTCACACTTTAACGTCTTCCGAATGCATTGACTATTTAAAGTATCTTGCCTAAAGTTATGTTTCTTCAGCAACTGAGCTATGATCATGGCTCTTTTCTGAATTCTTTCCAGTTGTTTCAGCTTTTTCCTTCAAAAAAGTAGGCATGAGCTGGACATGGTATTTCAGCATTGCTTCTGCTGTTGTTCCACGTATATAAAAAATTGCTCCTCTAAGTATTTGCTTTTCCTGCCAGTGTGCCAAGACTCACTCACCTTTCACCTTCTCCTACCTGCAGTGCTCTGTTGGGAGCAGCAGGTCGCTTGAAAGTAGAGTAAGATCCCTTTATTCAAATTAGTTTTGCATATGCCCATCTTCCAGAAGGTTGTAGATACCCAGCAGATGGAGTCCTGTTTTTTCCCACCATCCTTTATGACCATTTTTTTGTTTGTTTCTTTGTGGATTTAGGGAGTCAAAGAAAGGAAAGGTATTTAGGCTTAATCACTGTCTTTATGAAAACAAACAGATGCATAGTTTTTCCACAAAACTTGTCCTTAACAGTTTGACTCTGGCAACTTTAAAACTTATGAGGCATTTAAGCTCAGGTGTCCCAAAATATCAGGACAAATAGGTGGGCAATGGAAATGGATGCAAAATAAACACAAATTATTTCATTTAAATGGACACTGCTTAGTCATTTTTTGGCCTATTTTAGATTCAGTGCTTGCTAATTTGGAAGCGTAGTATGGAAGAAAGTGTTCAGGAATTTTCTTTCCCCGGGGAGTACAGAGCTTCTAAATAGTGTTGTGGCTTCATGTTGGCAGTTTGCTGACTTTAACTCCATCCATTTTCAGGGTGTGGCCAAGATCTTTCAGATTATTAAGGAAGGGTAGTCTAGAGGAACCACATGGGGTTTTTAGCTGTGGAGGTTTCCTCCGGTCATGTTGGTAGTTAAGGTTGCAAAGGGGCACTGTAGTGCTACAACCCTGTATTTTCTGCAGATCAAGCAGAGGCTTGACCTGAAAAGGATTCAGTTTTACTGTATTTAAAATAATTTTAAGGTTGTTCATAATCTTATATACAGAACTATCATTTGGCATTAGCAGTTTTACTTTTTTCCTTTAGTTTGGTAATTCAGCTGTTCACTTCTGTAATAAAAAATATATTTTAGGAACAGTTCACTGCTATATGCTAATTACAGAACTGAATACTTTCTGGGAATTACAGCAGCAGCCTGCTTGTTAGTGTATGAGATATGTGTAGCTTTACTCATACTAATTATGTTCACTAAAGGGCTCTTCAGTTAACCTATTTTGCTATTCCAACGTGAACTTCCTATGCTAGCAGAAAATGCCCAGGTCCTTGGCCTTTATTGAAGAGAAAGTGTTCTGTCTGTTGATGTTTTTTACATAGTATTTCAAAATACACAAACCAGAGAAAATTCAACAGCTATTAAGAATTATCTGCTTTCAATGCAGGTCGCTGACTGATGTAGACTAACTTTTCATCACTGCAGATGGACAGAAAGATCATCAGAGGAAACTAATGTGTTACATATGTGAAACCAACAGCTTAGCAGGATGACTGTAAAGGAGGAAAACTATAGCTGTGATCAACACTGAACAGTATTTCATATATTAACTAGTTCATACTTAGCTATAGCTAAAATTATTTGTGCATGTATCTGTTGACTACCTTCCAAATCCTGCTTGCAGTAAGTTTAAGGTAGGTAAGAGCATTCTTATTCAAAAGTTTTAAGGGTGAATTCATTAAAAAAAAATTAAAGTCAGGTATTTCTAGACTAGCAGCATTCAGTACCTCTTCTATTAAAAGTCAGAGATATCTTTACAATCCAATTCCAAATACCTATCTGAACCAGTCTTAATGAGTTGGTCTAATTTCAGTAGTACTCTTCCTTTTTATTTAGGAGAGTTGATTTTGAAGACATGCCTCAACTAATATTTCTGTGTGCCTTGTGGCACCTGCTCTTTTTGCATCATTTATTTCCTTTTTTTATTAACTTCCCAAATATTGTCCTGAAGGAAAACCAAACCTCCAGTCAATGTGTTTAGTTTTAAATTCTCTGAATGAATATGACTAGTATAGATGCCTGAATCTAAAAAATAAAATAAGGCACTCTTTCCATGTTAATGTGGGGCTAGGTTCTTCATTGCAAAATGAGCTGGAAAAGGGAGAGGTGGGTGCTTTAACACTGTCAGCATACCAGTGTCTACAGCAGCTTTTCAGCAAGGGTATTTTACAGCCCTTTCCCTTCCCCACTCTGTTTGGGTAGCTAGTACTCACACATGCAGTGTCGTCATGTACCCCAATACCTGCTGCAGGAGCCACTCCAGTCAATCCAGCCTCTGTGTGCCACGTCTTGGCCAAGTTTCCACGGTTGAGAAGAAGGGTGAAATAAGCCTGAAAAGTATAAAACACTAGGAATGTTGGGACCATTTGTATTCTTCTTCTCTTGAGGAACACAAGTCTATGTGGCTACTTCAGCAGTGAATCATCAGCATATTAGCCACAAAACAATGGCTTTTAAAAATATGTATGTATCCTGTCTGTGTTCTTACACAGTCAGCATGAGTGTTTAAATGCTGACAACATAGTCAGTTTTTCTGACAAATATGCACAGGTCACTGGGATGTGAGATGGTCTGTGTATTTTTGTTTGTTTGTTTGTCCCAACTGTTGTTCCACGGCCACCCCACGCTCCCCCAATTTCTCTGGTCAATGAATGCTGAAAAACAATGTTGTTGAAAACTTCCTCCATAGTTCCTAGAAGACAGAAGTTTGCTTTTCCAGTTTATTATCTTTATAAGTTTGTTTTTATTCTTCCTGTGGACGCACACCCCTCCCAGCTGCTGAGGAGAGGTAGGCTGACCTGCGTGCATCTTCCCCTACTTCTGTTGGGGGAGTCCAACCCCTCCCTGGTTCTGGTACTCACCTATCCCTCCTGCCTCCCCACGCATCCTTTTCTTCCCTTGTTAGCTGATTCAGCCCACTGACCCCATAGTATTTTCATTTGTTTAAGTTAGCTCCCCCACCATGGCAGCATTAGGTCAAGTTAGCTCTTGGAACCCCGTCCCTCAGTCTGCTTCTGGTGTCTTTGCAACATCAGGAACTGGGAAGGATGGTGTGCCCTGGGGCACAGCCCTGTTACGCCAGGGAGTCCTTGTTGGTTGATGGGCTGAAGAACCTGGTCGAGAGGTGCCAGGCAGTTTCTAGAAGCACTGCAAACTCTACTCCCCTTGTACCGTCAGACATACAGGGAATACTTACAGCCCCACAGAAGGTGGGAGATGTTAATTTTGTTCCCTGTAACCTATGTAACGTCCCTGCAAAGTAAACAAGAAACTGGGAAAGACTCATTTTTGTCCTAGGGAATGAGGTTAAAGGACTGGATTTTTGGTCAGAAGAATGTTACACAGTAGCTGCTAGAAACTGGATTCTTCATCCTATATTCCATACTGGAACAGTAAATAATTAGTTTTGTCTGTATGCGTAATAAACTGCTAGTTTAGTCTTTTAAGTATGCTGTATTGACAATCCAAATGTCATCTGTCAGAAAGCAGACTATTGCTGGACCTGTATTAGATATTCAGCCTGAGAAGAATGCAGTCATTTCAGTTTCTGCATAGGGACATAATACAGGACACCAAGCCTTTCCAGATAAACCTGTGTCTAGCCTGTCCCTTTTTTGTTTGCTAGGAATGTGAAAGGCTCGTATTAGTGTGACTTTAAATCCAATTTTCTAATGACTGTCCGCATATTTTCTGCTTGACGTGTTTTTTTGATCCACACCACAGTCTGACAGTTTCAAAATTTAATCAAAGGCTTTTAAATAAAGTTTCCCAGGACGAGGGGATGACCAAGAAAAAAAATCCAGAAGCCCTTCCCTTTGTCCTGTAATCTTCAGACAGATTTTTTTTTAACTGAAACAACTGGCATTCAAGATATAATCAAACTTCTAAAGCCATTGTTTTCTTAAAGTTCCTTCTCTAGTCAAAAACCTTACCGTGTTAGTATTCCCTTACAGCAGTACTTTCCTGTGCTGCCAAATGAGGCAAATCTATTCTATGACTCCAGACTGGGATTGGTGCATAAAAATTGCCGTCAACCATAACGTAACATATTTTATATATTGGGATAGAAAGCCTTTACTTAACCTTTATAGGACCACAAACGAAACCTAGCAAAAACAGTCACAAATTTGTTTCATGTTTGTGAAGTGATCTCTTCAGGTATTTTGTTTCTTTAATGGCATTTTATATTGCAGTTTACCGAAATATTTCGGATTACTAAAATATAATGGATAAAGTAATATTATTTGATTGTTTTCAGTTAGGGTGGGGAATAATGAAAATGTAATACTTAAAGATCGTTATTATAATTTTAACTTTCCCAATTTCCCTCACCTTTAGGAATCCTTGAAAATTATACTGATAAATTTAACTCAAATGGGTTTCATTCTATCATAAATTGAAACAAGGAATATATTAAAGTCCAAACTGACAATTACATTATTTTAGAGTATCGCATTACCATGTATTTACACAGATGCAGTAATGGTGTATATGAGTGTATTCAGGCACACAGCTTTAACCTGCCAAAAAAAGGAAGAAAATGCCCTTTTTATTTCCTTCAGGAACAAACTCCCTTGTGTTCAGTGTTGGAGAACGTTCCTGGGCAATTACTATGTCTTGGCTGCTAACGTGAGTCCTGACTTGATGTTAAGTGAAAATAAACAGCATATTGGAAAAAGCATATCAAATTCTAAGAACAGAATATCATGCCATTTTCTCAAACAGAAATGTGCTTCTCCTTGCCCTTTGAGAGGGAGAGAGCCTGCACTAACAGTTCACCCAAGTTTGGAAAATTTCCCTAGGGTTTGCCCAGTTTGCATTTATAATTACACCAGTGCAACTCTAATAAAAACTCAGTGCCTCTCTTGCTGAAGCGAATCCTTTTGTACTGGTGCAGTTTATCAAGAGGCAAGGTTTGAGACTGTATGGTTGTTAAAGTCTAGTTAGAGCTGTGTATCTTTACAAGGGCTTTCAGAGCTCTGGCTGATGGAAGATCACGGACACAAGACCAAAAGGGTGGGTAAGTGGGACGGAGGAGGGTAGGACAATTGGCAGTAATCATGACTGAAAATGAGCAAGATGGGTTTCAGAAATTGCAACTCGTTGCAGTGGCAGAAACAACAAGAGCCTATTCTTAATTTTTTTTTGTTGCTTATCATATAATGCAGAGAAGAAAAGAAACAACTTCAAAACCTAACAGGTTTTCTAAAACAAGCTTTTGCTTCTAGCAGAAGCATTAGTTGTCCTTAACACTAATGTCTTATACAAAAGGCCAGTGACAAATTGGCAGTGAACTGTTTTTGTTTATTCAACACTGGTCTGTTTTCAAACATACAGCACAGCATAATCAGAAAGGTGACATGGAAATAGAAAATATACTGCATGTTAGTTACCATATTTTTTAATGAAGATTTTGTGAGCTTTTTTATTGTTGCTAATTTAAATCTTACATGAGGCTTTGGTGCTTATACTGAATATGTATGTACAAGTAAAACTTATCAATGGTATGAAGATCAAGAGATATAACCAATTCTTTTTTTTGTATGCTACTTTATTCCTCTTTCTTCGGTTAGCATGGCATGACCCCTCTAATGCATGCAGCATACAAAGGGAAAGTAGACATGTGCAGGTTGCTCTTGCGACACGGAGCTGATGTGAACTGCAACGAACATGAACATGGATATACTGCCTTGATGTTTGCTGGACTTTCAGGTAACTTCTTAATAAACTTAGATCACTGATTTTTGCAACATTGATGGGTAAAATTTGCCATAAATTAATAATTTAAAGGAAGTTGTTGACATGTTTTTATTATTCAGGTTTAGTGTTATTTATGTGAACCGTGTGAATATGTCAAGACCAGTAGTATCATCAGGACAGTGGAGTAGGAGAGCTACTGTTCAGGCTTGGGATCTTTTTTCATATAAAAATCAATTTTGTTCAGCGTTTTGAGGTGCATAGTCTAGCTCTGCTTTGTCCTGTTTGTTACAAATCTCAAAATTCACCCTCCTGTGACCGTTTTCTTGTACAAGGGGACACGTTCTGTTTAATTATGCTACATTGAAAGAGATGCTCCACCAAACTGCCTTTTTTAGGGTACAGATCAGTAGCTTTTATTAATATTTGAGGCTTGTCAGTATTTTTCAAATTTTGCCTTTCTCCTACATTATTTTTACAATTATCTTGTGGGCTTTAAAAAATGTATTTAATAACTTTTAAAAACATGTTTCTCACGTAAATTTTCCCTCTCTTTCTTACATTTTTTTTTTTTTTTTCATGGGAGTGCTTATAGCTGTTTATATCTTCTCCTGTCTCAGGTGGTAGTTTGCAGCTTTCCTCTTGCTATTCTTTTTCCCTGATGAAAGGAACAATTATTTCCCTGAGTCAGAAAAAGACACTACATAAGCAACATTGTTCCTTCTGGGAAAAAGATGAGATTTGGGAATATTAGGTTATTTTAAGTATCTTCTTTACTAGGCCACTTGCATCTTCCCAAAAAGGAGATTCTAGGGAAGTAAGAATTCTTAGCAGGTAGAGTTTAAACTCTGCTTTCTTTCATCATAAGTATAAAAAAAGTAAGGCATATGTGTGTACATGAACCTTAACTGGATTATCAGATTGCTTTACTGATAAAACCTGGGTAAAAAGATTTGGGCAATTGCAGTGTTCTGTGGCATTGAGCAATATCAAAGCTGCAGCAGATCGATGGGGACAAACTCTTGGATGTTGTTAAGTGACAGCAGCTTTATGGAAAAAGCTGGATTTTTACCATTTTCTCACAGCTGTGTTTGAATGCTTCCGGATGTGGACTTTAAGGTCTGTTATCTGTGAGGGAAAAAGGTACATGAGTACTACTGACTTCATGCCTTTGTTTTTAAGTCAGAAACGTTCATTTCCATCCACCACCCCCTTCTTCTTTTATATTCACTTTTTTGTACTCAGCATATGCACGATAACTGATAAAGTAAGAATACCTTTGCAAACAGAGCTAGTGTAAGTGGTGACAAGTGTCCCTATTAGTCTCTGAAGGGCACCAATTAAGTCATCTAATCTTCCCATCAAATTTTAGCTTCATTTTACTTGGTATTTAGCCCAGTCTGAACACCCAGTTCCTGCTGTGGAGAAAGGAACAGTCTGTTCTATTCTCTGTGCTCCTGCTCCATAATAGTACTGGATTTGTTTTTCTTCTTGGAATAGCAAATGTTGTAGTTGAACTGTCAAACTAGATTAGTAGAATTTGCTTCTATACTGCTGTCCAGAGGGACCAAGCTCTAGTGTACTGACGTGCAAAGGACTCCCATAAGCTCCACGGGGAGCTGAATGTACATTACAGAGAGCAGAGTTATACTCTGCCTGAATTTAGTTTTCAGTTTGATTTGACCCTCTGGAACCATAGATAAGGAGGCAGCACCATGCCTTTCTCTTAATCTATTCTTAAAATAACGACATTAAGAACATTCATTTCCCTCAGTGTTGTTCCTGGTCTTTAAGAAACTCACTTCTTCTTTTTCTACAAGCATAAAGAATTGCAAGTTCTGGTTTGCTCTCTCTCATTCCCCATATCTTTCCCCCAAATTCAGGAAACAAAGAAATCACCTGGATGATGTTGGAGGCTGGAGCAGAGACTGATGTTGTCAACTCTGTGGGAAGGACAGCAGCTCAGATGGCTGCTTTTGTGGGTAAGGTGAACGTCTAGTGTAATTTCTAACGAAGTAAAGTGTTAGATTCTGAGGCTTTCTATTGGAGAACCATTATTTAACGACCTGCTCTGAACTGATGCAGTTGTTCAGCTTTTTTTCAACACCTCATCCTACAACAGTCAGTTTGTGTTCCATTCCCATGCTTTGTTTCATAAAAACACAAATGATCTTATCTGTCAGAATAGATGCTGCTGTTCTCCAAGTGTGTAAGTTTTTATGATGTCATCACTTTTCACATAGGAAAAGGAGGGTGGTTACACCTGAGGTGTCTGAAGTGCAGGTAGGTGTTTCTGTAGTACCAAGTGTGGAACTGGAGCTTCCCTCATGGGAAGGAATGAACTCCCACCTGAGCTTTGCCATGAGCATGCTGTGTGCTAGGGGTTCAGTCACCTCCTGCCCTTCTCCCTCTGCACTTGGGAGAGGGAGAAGTCTCAGAACCTGTTCTGAGGTAGGTCGGTACTTAGTGAACTGAACTTGACTAGAACAAGATGAAAAAATTGTCATTCCGGTGTGCTGTGTGCTCCTGGGCAAAACATGGAACGAGGCTTTTTTCTGTTGTTTTGTTTCTTCTTTTTGCTGTTTTTTTCCTAAACCTTTTTTACTTCTTTACCCATCTTGACAGTGCTGGCAGATTCCTGGATTAACATTCCCACATATACCACTTTTTCTCTGTTTCTGGCGAGGGCATGTGATAAAATAATGCCATAAAAAGTGGAGCCATTTTAATAACAGTTATTGCTGTCCAGATGACCGTCCCAACAACCAAATATGAGGACCTGTATTTTCACTTCAACACAACTTTCCGGTATTGTTTAAATGTCTGAGAATTGTCTTGCAAGTCCATTAGGTGTTCTGGATTCAAGAGCCTACCTTGCCATTTAGATTTACTTCCTTGAATAGTGAGTTAGTGCGGTTTCAATTTCAATCATATGTCATTCTGCGTTTTTAAGGAGGAAAAGATCAATATTGCTCACTTGAGATTCAAGCGGCAAAACTTTCAAGTATTCACTTAATGTGTCAGAGAAGTCCACTCCAATTAATTATACTTTGGATTTGGAGAGTCTTTTTCAACGTGATGCTGAATTGAGTTATTAGTGAATAATGAATGTTATCTCCAACACAATTTTGGTGGATTCTTGTTTAAATTCTCATCTTGTCACTAAGATAGAATAAATATTTTCAGGCATACTGAGATATGCTACTCTGTAAAAGTTTGAACATTGGAATCCATTCCTGTTCTTTTTTATTCCCTGTCCAATCAACATTAATTCATCTGTCTGTGTGTGGGAAGTGAGGATACTTCTTACCCTGTCATTTGTCTTACACTGTGCTCTATTAGCTTAGAACAGTCTCTTCTAAAACAGTGGAGAGTTTTAAGTGCTGGAATTTGGTTGACTCTGTCTTCTTCCACTGATTAATAGAATTAGTGCCAAGATAAATCAATCAATTTAAAGAATGTGGTCCTGAACTAGAGAAGCTAAATTTTACTTTCCATGTAGCCAAATAATCCGTCATGTTGTCAGATGTAGAAGACAAGAAGGGGGTGTAACTTCTCTCACCTTGTTACTTTCATCAGAGTCCTTTTCTTTTTTTGTAAATGTTAAGCATGTTCTGTTCTTATAAATTCTCTCACTTTAGGTTAATACACTACTGTGTTTCAGGTCTGAAAACTTAAAAGCCTCTATGCAAATGTCATGAATTTTTGAAAATACAAAGTGCAGAGAACTTCTCTTGAAAAATTTTAACACCGGTATGAGATTACTAGTATAACTTCGGGGGGAAATACCTGTTCTCATAGTTTTGGCTTAACAAGGAAAGAGGACGCAGGAAGGGGACAGAGTTCTCTAAGTGAAATTTCATTAAGTCATTCCCTGCTGGGAGTCAGTAAGTTACACTTGCTGAACATAAAAGTTACACGCAAAAGAATGGCAGGTGTTGCCTGTTACCAGTGCAAAGCATATCATGCTCTTTTGTGGGTAATTGTTTATATTCGATTTGCATTTAGGTCTTTTTTTTTTTTTTGTTATTATTTCATTTAATTTGTGATATTTTTCTTGTGTGCCTTTAGGTCAACATGACTGCGTGACCATCATCAACAACTTCTTTCCACGTGAAAGGCTGGACTACTATACTAAAGCACAAGGCTTAGATAAAGAACCAAAACTGCCAGTGAAATTAGCTGGGCCTCTACACAAAATTATTACTACTACTAACATGCATCCTGTTAAGGTGAAGTAATACGTAAATTGTGTGTGTTTTCTTGGTGTATGTTTCTTTACGTCAGAAAGCATTCAGGTCTTCTGAGAGTCTAACTGAGATCAAAAGCTTTATACACTAATTCAGCTGCTTCTGAAAATGAGAAATGATCAGGCTCAACATTTAAGCATGATTAAAAAATTAAGCTCTTCCAGTATTTATGCACACCGGAATCTTGAACTAGCACCCTTTAAGTGGAGAAATTCTCTTTTCTTTTTTTTTTTTTTAACATCAGTAACCGTAAATAGCTTTCTTTTTTGGCTTTCTTTTTTCCATAGCCCCACTTGAAGTGGAAACATAAACCAATTTCCTGTCTTAACAAAATCTCGTTGTTCTCTCAGTGCTTGTCTTAGCATGTATCTTCCTACCTTCATCACTGGTTCCCCATAGTAACATCTACTGCTGCTGCTGTTTCTGAAAGTGTGTGCAAGAGACGTTTATTTTTACTTCCCAGTATATTTGCTGAAAATAATGTATTTTATGGTTTGCTCCTTCGGTGTAGTTCAGAGAAATTAATACACATAAATTCAACGACAAGTTCCCTGGGTTTGCCGTTCAAAGTCAGGAATTTGTCAACAGTTGCCAACCAGGTATCGGCAGTACATGCCGACAGTACTGCACCAGTGGCAGCTAATTTAGTTAGTAGAGTACATGGTTTTCTCTTAAAATGGTTAGTTCAGTGCTTTATTAGCCTGAAGTACTCCAAGGTTATGTGAGGCTGATGTGTTCTTTGAAACCGCTTAAATCATACAAGTCCAGTTTATTTTAGGTGTTCGGAAGGAAAGAGATTTTAGGACAGTCTATGGGAGTTTATGTAACTCTTCCTTTTGAAATGGTTTTGATTCTTCAGGTTCTTATTCTGAGAAAAATCCTTATTATTTTTAATACCTGTGTTTATTTTAAATGTCTTGTATGGGAAGTGTGAATTACAGTATTCTAAATAATAATAATACCAAATAATGACTGAAAAAATAAGAGGAAGACTGTCTAAGATGGAAGTAGAGGAATTCTAGAAACACCACTGAAGTTTAGCTGCAATGAGCTTTAATGCTAATACACAACTTTAAAAATACTAGTTCCTAATTGGATGACATTTCATTTTCTTCGATCCTTCTCGTAGATTGTGTTGCTGGTAAAAGAGAACCCTCTGTTGGCCGAAGTAGAAGCACTGCAGAAATGCTATAGGGTTCTGGATCTAATTTGTGAGAAATGTATGAAGCAGAAAGACATGAATGAAGTACTTGCTATGAAAATGCACTACATCAGTTGCGTCTTCCAGAAATGTATTACATTTTTAAAAGAGCGAGAGGATAAACTAGATGGATTTATCAAAAGGTACGTGTTCCTGCAGAGAGGTCTGAAGGCCAGATACCAGAGAGGCAACTGTAATAATGGCTTGGATTGTCTCAGATAAAGGCTAAATTTTGAAATAATCCCAGCTGCAGTCACTTCAGGGTGGCACTGACTTTTTTTTCTGTCTGAAGTGGCATTGTCCCTTCCTGGGGTACAGAAGAAACATTCCTGGCGTTTCAGCTCCCTGCTGGAACTGGTTAGAGCTTGGCAATCACACATATGCTGTGAAACAGCAGAGAGCACCATGTGGTAGAGAAAAAGGGGAGTGATAGGCTTGAAAAAAATAATTTCTCAGTGTCCGATATGGATCATCTGGGAACATTTCTCTTGCCATTTTGCTCTCCAGCAGTCATGCAGGGTGAGGTTTTTTTCCAGAAACAATTAAGCAGCTGAGAACTGCAAATCCCCCTGGCTCTGGATGAGACTTGGACTCCTAAATCACTTAGACAGATCTTCAGAACTCACTCAGAGTTACCAAACCAGCTGCCTGATCTTAAATATCAAAGTAAGTGGCCTGGCTTTCAGAAGGATCGCATTCCTCATAGACCTCCGTGGATATCTGTGTGGTACTGAAAATAAATTAGGAAGTCAGCTTTCACATACTGAAATCAAATAGTTCAGTAGTTCATCAGTGATCCAGATAAAAAAGTGGTAGCCAACCAGATAAATATAAAGGCATCAGGACTGTAACACATTATTGAGCGTAAGTAAAGCAGAATTTATATTTTGAAGTATTGTGCATTCTTCAGTGTTTATTTTTACAATGCTCATTTTTAAACACAACACAGCATTTTGCTACTTTAGTCAGATGGAGGTACTAGTCTACCTGTACATGATTATTTTCGACTGTGTGGTTGAATTAGTAAGCAGTGGTTTCAAAGCATACATTTAGTTATTTTATATTATATGATTGTGCATTAGAATAAAAATAATTTCATTTGCATCTTAAACACTTTTACATATGAAGTTGCCAAATTATTTAGAATTATAATTCTTCTCTGTAATTTGAAAGAGGACAGAGTACAGCATGCTGTGTATTTACCATGTGATTTCTTATTTCACTTCATTTTTTAAAAATTTAGTCTCTTGAAAGGGAGAGATAAAGATGGTTTCCCTGTATATCAAGAGAAGCTAATTCGAGAAAGTATCCGAAAGTTTCCTTACTGTGAAGCTACATTGCTCCAGCAGCTCGTGAGAAGTATTGCTCCTGTTGAAATAGTAAGTTTTTCCTATCGAGAAAATACACCAAGCAACCTGCATAGTAAATTCAGTTCAACCTAAGCCATCTTTCTGTTTCTCAGCTTCTGCAATGTATTATATGAAGCGCAGGTTTTTCATGCCCTGAACTCTGGCAAACTGGAATTTTATTTGACATATTACAGGAAAATGATCTAAAATACTTCAACTAGTAGACTTTTCCTGTGCCCATAATGAATGCTTAAATACCTGAGCTCTTAAAGAAAGCTGAAACAATTTGTTTCTTGTCTCAGAGCTTTCTTTTCATACTCTGGGTTGTCTATTCAGTGTTCCTTTGCCAATTCCCTTTCACAAATTGTAGATTCAGACAGATGAAACTCATTTTGCGCTCTTTTTTTCACAACTTCTAAATTCAATTTATGATCAAATCATTTCCTAGACTTAATGCATTCTTTATGTCTAGTGTACATGAAAAGTTGGTAATATATGGTGTTAGAAAAAGAAAAAGCATTCTGTGAAGCTCCTTTTATCACAGGGAGAGGCAAGATGATGGAATGTAGAGCAAAATGTGTAGCTAAATTAGGAAATCAAAATTACAAGTAAAAAAATCTAACTTGAGTTTTCCTCATATGCCTTTGCTAACACTCTTCATTATAGTGCTGTCAATTACTTTCCAATAAATCTTACACAAGACTTACTACTCTTTTTAAAAATGATCTTTCTGGTCTCTGAGAGCTAGATGTTATATGCTCTAACACTGGGGAAGTGGAACAATTTTGTGACGTGTTTTGATTATGCTGAGTGAATTAAAAATAGCCTCCATCTTAAGTGGCTCCAAGTCTACTAAAATGTCCTGAGGCTTTGATGCAATCCCTACTGTGTGTCTAAGCCAGAAAAATAAACACAGTGTGAAAACATAAGCCATCACAATGCATTAAGACCTGCTTTAGAGTCAACATTTTCCTTCCTGTCCCTTTTTTCTTAGAAGGGTTCACAGTCTTTTCTGCCTCTAAAGAAATACAGTTGGTGACGTGGGATTTTTGTCCATTACGCAGAACTGGAAAGGAGGCGATGCTATAAATTTTTATTTCTCTGGGAGCCTTTGATCTTTGACATGCATAATTACTTGGATTCAGCCTGGGCGTCTCAGCACTGTCGTAGTAGTTACGATGGTGCATAGTCCAGGGTAGTCTAACGGTTTGAGGATTTACGTAGAGCTGGAGCCATTTGGCATTTTCTTCCTCTAACGTTGACATCATTGCCCAGAAGAATAGTCTTAATTTATGGTTACCAGTAACATATACTAAATCTTACTGCATGGAAAAGATACTGCAAATAGTATCTAAATAATAATATGCAAATAATTGTTTTGAAGATTTTGAGTTCTGACCATTTGGTCTGTAGCATCTGAGTACGGTGAGCACAACAGTGTATCAGTGACAAGCAAAGTATCCTTCTGTGTGCCAGCACAGAGACTAATCCGCAAAAACCTGTGTGTAAAGAACACTGAGTTCATTAATGGTATTAGTAATAATTTACAGAGTTAAAAAATGGTAATCTTTATCCTCCCTTCTGCAGAAGCTAAGGACTAAGTTAACGTTATATACAAAAATTGACCTGCCCGTATGAACGTTATGTCGTGCATGTTAGTTGAAGTTGTGTGATTCTGGTTTATGTTCTCGCTGCTACAGCATCTTCAGTGAGACTGCAGCTGGCTGCTTGGAAGCCTGTATTGCTGTTTTGTTTTTCTCCCGCACGTCCCTCTTCGTGATAGTGTTGGTTTTTAATCTCATTGCTACCTCTTGTCTTACTTTGCAGGGTTCTGATCCTACAGCTCTTTCTGTACTTACACAAGCCATTACTGGTCAAGTGGGTTTTGTGGATGCTGAATTCTGTACAACTTGTGGGGGAAAGGGAGCAGACAAAAGATGTTCAGTATGTAAAATGGTAAGAATTCATAAATAGTTCTAACAAATCACAAAAAACAGTGCCACTGAGGTGCTGAGGATTTTGAATGCTTCACTATTTACTGTGCAGCCTTAGGAGGAATGGTGTGTATGCCTGCACTGAAAATGTGCAAGCCATCTGCTCCTGGGAGAGATGTCTGAAATTCACAAGTAGGAGTACTTGGATTTCCAAGTGCGTAAGTTTAAGAATGAAGAAAAAGCAAAATTCCTGTATGTTCAGAGTTAACAAAACAAACTATTCTTTACAGATATTTGTATAGGTTAGAATCACTCCCTATGACCTTACAAATTGCTTAAAAATACCACTAAGTACTATACATAAAGAGATTTAACTTGGTACACTAAGAAGTGCAAGAATATTGCATATTTTTTAGTAGATGAAGATGCATTGATAGCTCTGGTGACTTTCAGGTGATGTACTGCGACCAGAACTGCCAGAAAATACACTGGTTTACCCACAAAAAAGTCTGCAAGACCCTGAAGGAGATCCATGAGAAACAAGAACTAGAAGCTGCCAAAGAAAAAAGGAAACAAGAAAAAAAGCAAAAGAAAGGTCAGGACCTATAGTTTGCTTGCTGAAACTAATGCTTCAGTAACTGCACCACAAGGAACAACAGTAACAGGTCATAGAATCTGTAACAGCTGAGGTTGAAAAAAACCTCTTTGTTGTAACGTAACAGGATACCAGCATTTGTTGGAATTTCTAGTCTTCCAATTTACAAATGCTGTGTACTTTCTAAAATGTGTTTTTTAATGCTAGGCTTACACAGGTTTTTACAACGAAAACATTCTGAATTACACTGCACTGTTTCAAAATCCAAATCTTTAATCAAAGTCATGCAGAAGTTTCATGCTACTCTTCTGTTGAAGGTGTTAGGACAAGCTGGATAGTAAGCAAGCAGCCCACTCCTTCCAGCTGCAAAGGTTAATGTAGATATTAACTCTCCTATAAAACTTCCTTCTTCATAATCACAGTATCAGGTTAATTATGTTGTGTACTTCGAATGGGAACAAAAGAAAGCGTTAGTCTTTGAACTGTTAATGGTGTTTTTCTCCCTTCAGTAAGTAAATAATTAATACATAACAGAAAAAAACACTGTACCACACCTCTTTCCCTTGACTTACTCTGATACAATGTTCCTGTAAGTGGGATAATAGAAGAATTAGGGGTGAAAGCACTTTTTCTCTTTTACAACTTAGATTCCTCTTCCCTTTTAAGAATGGTAGAACTGCACTGGACCAATCACACTTGTCTTATAATGGTAGTATTCTTCACTTCAACTGGACTCTAAAAACTATAGAAGGATATAAATTACTAATAAATTAGTAATTATTGAAGTTTTCAACAGCCTCCCGTGAAGATCCTGTTACAACAGAAGTTGCTGTTGCATGGGATCAAAATGACTGTGGAAGTTGGAGGCAGGCATACTGGAAATCCCTGAATACGTAGGATAGCGGTACAGCACGGCGTCACGAGCTGTGAGCAGTGGGATGCCTCACGCCGGTGACAAACGCACACGTTTGCAGGTTCACATTAACTGAACAAGTGGCCGGGTGCTGCCCTCTTCAGAGGTGGAGGGCTCTTCTCCCTCCCGCCCGAAAAAGCGCAGCTAACGTTTTTTGATATGTTACTGCTGCACTATCTGCACGTTAGTCTCCATTAACTTCTCCAGGTACGTGGCCAGCACACTACAGACCGTGTCAGGTTATGCATTGCTAGCAAAGCAGTGAATTCATCCTAGCTTCCAGTCACCTTGTGAATGGTGGTGTCCCAAAGTTCCTCGTATCAACAGCAGTTTTCATTTCAAAAAAAGAATAATACCCCTTACAAACTCTACCCATCAAGGGGGGGGGGGGGGAATAAAAAAAAAAAATAAAAAAAAAAAAATCCCACAGCTGCAACCACAAGCAAAAGCAAGAGTTTAAGAGCTTCCACTGTACAAGGGTGAGTGTTAAGGAAGTCTGTGCTTCTGTGCTCAGGGCAGTTGGCTCCCCAGCTAAATGAGACCTTGGCAGGGCTTTGGCAGTGTTGTGGCTGGCTGTGACAGTGGTTTTAGCTGGCTATCAGTCATAACTTAGCAGAATCAGGGCAAAAAGTTATTTAACACTTTTTTTTTTCCAAAAGCATTGCTTGAAATAAAGGTGCAATAGCTGGTTCCATTCCATGCAGTCAGGTTATAAATTTTAGGATGACTCACTTCAATGAAAGTTCATTGTTGTCAACTGTTCATTAGCAAATAATTTCTTCAGTCTGTTATATGCAAAAATACTTCCTATGTAATCACTTACATGCCTCTTTTTTTTTAAAAAAAAAAAAAAAAAAAGAGAAAAACAAAGCCCACCTGTACTCTGTGTCTAACCAGCCTGCAGCCATTCTTTGAAAAGCTAACTGTGACAGTAGTGTCAATAAAGTGTGTTGGAATTGAAAGTTAAAATAACTGTAGTGTCGTACTCTGCTCCTCTATATATTAAGAAGAATTATGGCAAAATGGAAGATGGTGAGAGCTTTGTGTAGGGTTAGTTTCAGAGTAATCTTACACCAGTTTAGGCAGAACTGTAGTGTTTTAGGTGGGTTTTGATGAAGCTTGGTTAAAATAAGCACTTTTGTAATTGATGAAAAGTTTTCTAGTGTTTATTCTTCAGTAAGAAAAATGTTTGCTTGCAGATGAGTTCAGTGTTTACTGATGATGCAACTTCTCTTTTGTTTAGATGAAGTGCAACTAGTAGAGGGTAGTTCTACAGGTGAAGAACAGTCAGATCCTGGTCCAGATGCTACCAAAGAAGTGGGTCCAAATCATGCTGCTGACCGAACGCAAGAACCTGAATTTGCCAAAGAGACGGAGGCACTAGCCCTGCACCCCAAAGGTCCACTGGAAAGTGAGCCTGGTGTAGCTGACGTTGCTCGTCAAAAAATTCAAGATTCTGAGGAGTAAGAGGAGAGTAGGAAAGACTAAGAGTTTTGGCTACATCCCTGTACCTCGAGGATCCTAAAGAATTTTTTTATGCTGACCATGTCTGAGTTCTTACGGCATGGCTTATGCAAGACTCCCTTTGAAAGACAGCGTGACACTGTTCATCATGAGGTGAAACATTGGCTGATTTTGCCTATAAATACTTCAGGTTCTGTCGTAGATTGTCAAAATAGGTATTTACTATCTGATAAAAACTAGAGTGGAGTAGACCCATCTGTATGTATACCAACAGTAAGCGTAGTAAAAATCTACGAGTATCTGTGGTTAATCAGCCACTTAGTGAAAAATAAAAAGCATTTAATTTGGATTATTCATGTTTTCAGAACCTAAAATTTAATTGTAATTTATTTTTTTTCTGCAAGTACACAGAACTGTAGTTAAAGACAGTGGGAAGCCAACTGTTAAATTGCTTTTTTACACCACTATATGAAGCTTTGAAAGAATTCAGTAGCAGTTAAGTTTCTGAAGATACTCATCTGAATTCTCAACTTTTCATGACATTACTGTAAATATTTTTGACTAGGGAGTGCACAACAATAGTGTCTATTTTGTGGCAATTTTATTAAATGATACTGCTGTTTCAGATGTCTCATGCTGACTGTGAAATGTGTGTTTCAACAGAAATATTTCACTCTGGCTTTGATCAAAAATATTCAAGTTTATCAAAGTCCAACGAAGGGAAGACCAGAATGACGTAAAATATTTTGACTGACAAAAATAATGGTTTCCAAATCTGAGCTTTCAGGCAAAGATGCCCTAGAGTACACTGGGATGTTGCTTATGAATTATTTTATACAGATGAAAAATGCTTAATGTTATTCATGCTGAACCTGGTCACAGTGGATTAGATGGGAAAATTCGAGCGTGCATTGACACAACTGGGATTTCACTTAGGCTTTCAACTAAATACCATATATAGAAAACAGCTTCCCTTAACTGTGCTGGTTTTGCTCAGATTTACAACTGTGTTGAGGTTCTCTAATTGTTAGATGAATAACTGGTGGTTTTGAACATGGCAACATCCTTCGACTTCAAGGAATAAGGACCATCCTCAAAACAGAGGAAAAATGCTATTAATTTTTTACTAGTTAATATATTGAAAGCTTTTGTCTCATCGTCTGGATACTGTGAGAGTGAGGGTACATAAACGCGCCTGCGCGGGGAATGTGCCTGGGTTTTAGTTTGAAGGATTAGTGAATTGTGAGGAATAAAGGGAGGTTTTGTAAAAGGAGGGAGCTGTGTGGCAGTTCTGTCTACTGCATCTGTTAATGCCTGTTGGGCCGTACGGTGACGTTCCCGTTTGACGTGCACGGGCCTCCCGCGGCTCGGGTGTGCGTGTTTAATTTCCTGGCAGTTGGCAAGCAAGAGATGCGTGCCTGGAGCCGACGTGTGGAGTCGCCAGCCACTCCCGGAGCTGGGAACGCCGAGGTGCCGCTGCCGCCCTGTCCTGCACGGAGCGCTGGGGGCTCACGGGGATCGGTTGCTCTTTAAGGTTTCTCGGGAAATGCCAACCCTTTAGGGCAAATGATTCGGGAATTTTCAGAGCGTGGTAAAATCCACAGCACACATCCTGCTTTCCTTCTGCCAGCCAAAGCTTTTTCTCGGTAAAGAAGTAAAGCTTAAGTCATAGGAGAAAGTACAAACATTGGAAATAGGTGTGAAGTGTGGGACCGTGGGCACAGATTATGCAGTTGTATTTGTGCTCATTCGAACTTGAAAAGGCAGAGGCTGCCGTGCCTCCCTCTCTTTGCAGAGAGTCTTGGAGGAGAGGAATTGGAAACCAAGTTAGGGACCTGGTGTGCACTGATGCTCCCAAGCTACCTCTGCCTTCCTCCGCTCGAGCTGGCAACGGGTCTGCTGTTGTAAGAGCATAAACTATGTCTTGCATAAACTTGGGGTAATGACTTGCATGATCATGAATTGGAGGAAACACTCGTGACCTGCTGTTTGTAAGTGACTTAAAGTAGAATGAAAATTCATACACAATTGACTGATTCCTTCAGCGTCAAGGCAGCTGTGGAGCACAAAGCCAGCAGACACGCTCTTGCACCTTCAAGGGTGTGCGACGCAAAAGGCTTTTCTGCCCTCCACTAGGAAAAATGGAATTCTCATTTCTTCTTCAGCTGTTTTGCTAAATACAAGAACACAGCAGCCATGAATCTGTCTAGCCTGCTTCACCACAGGTCTTGCTCCTTAGTTCACTTTCAGGCTAAGTGGTTTTTAGTATCGACTATCTCTTCACCCTGGGAAATCTGATTGGATTAATATAGAAAAGCTTCTGAAACTATCTGAGCAGATCTTCTAGGGAACTAAATGTTGTCTGTTCAAGTCGTACTAGATTTTTGATGAAGGTAGATTGTCAAGATTTGTCTTCCTCTAACTAAAGGGAATTCTCAGCAAAATTTGAAATTATCATTGTAATTTGAGTATTTCTTCCCATGTAAATAGCTAACATTATTCCTTTCCCACTTATGGCTCTAAAATGGACTCAGGCCTTTTGACAAAGCTCAGATGGGCGTGTAGATGGAAAGCGCCGCCTCTTAAGTGCGGTGGCCACGTTGGCAGTTGGTGATTCCCCCGACTCGTGGCTCGTCAGACAGCATCCAACATTTGCAAACTACAGATGTGTACAGGCAGCAAACAATTTCATGAAGAGCTTCTGGATGCCATGGTAGTTTTTTAGTGTTTAATCTGTGTATTCCTGGGACACCAGTGTGCAAGAGTGGGAGGGCCAAAAAATCTAAGAAGTTTTGATGGACTTTTCTCCATCAAAGATTATATATGTAAAATTAACTCATCTTCTCTGAGCCCATTTATATGCTCAAAAAGATTACAAGAAGCCACGTTAAAATTCTTAAACAGTTACTCCTGCAAAATGTGTATTGTATTTTAAAAATATATCTTGGGGGAAAAATGTTAAATTAGTTGTTAAAAAAGATTCTGTAATAAAATTCTTTATGTTGAAACATTGCACTGCAGCATTCTCTGAGCAGAAAGCTGAAACAATTCTTCACTTTAATTTTTCCTTAGTCAGAAGAAGACAGGTGCAAAAAAATACTCCATGCCAGAAATACTGGGCCTTTAATTTGATCCAAAAATTTGAAATCAGTTAAATTTGCTCGGAAATTGCATTGTTTACTAGCTTAGTCTATCTCCAAGTGGAATACATTCTGCTTTCAGAGAAAATCTTAAACTCAGCCTTTTCCATGTCTACTATGACAAAGTCTGCAGATTCTGGGGTTCTGAAATTGCTGCTATGAAATGATTACATCATAGATCCCGTCTGTGAGCAGAGCCAGCTGTCAGAGTTCAGAAGACTCAAGATGAGCTAGGGATTACACCGACTAAATCCTTACGGAGAGTTACTGCGAGAGGACCTCTTTAAGAAAACATATTAGCCGAGGCTTAGTTTGGTCTAGCTTTTCTGTAGGCTGATTCAATTTGAGACATTAAGTATTCTTGAAACCTGATCGAAACCAAGGTGATGATCTACCTTTTAAACCGCAAAGATGAGGCTAATTTAAGGGCATTTACAAAATGCATGGAGCTTTGAGCAAGAAAAATAGGGAAGTTGAAATCAAAAAGGAAAGAATCCAACATCAATACATCAAAGAGGCAAAAGGAATTAGGAGAGTTAGCAAAAATAAAGTCCCGTATGTGGGATGGAGTAATCCCAAGCAGCGGTGCGGAGTGGGGTCTGTCTGGGTGTGCTGGAAGGGGCCTGGGGCTCCCGGCGGGCAGGAACCTCACCCCGAGCCAGCAGGAGGGCCTGGCAGCACTGAAGGTAAATGGGGCCGGGCACCAGGGAAGGCCATAGCACAGCCCACAGATCAAAGGTGTGATGAGGCCACGTCACTTGGCAGGTGCTGGGCCACATCTGGGATGCTGTGTCTCAGTCCTCAGTTCAAAGGAGACATGAAAAAATGAGGTGTCCAGCAAGACAGCCACCATAATCAGCAGGTTGGAGGAATTCAGTTTGTTCAGCCCAGAGAAAAGGAGACTCGGGGAGATCTAATCACAGTCTTTACAATACCTGGAGGTAGTTACAGACAAGATGGGGGATGCACAGTGATAGGACAATGGCCAACAGGCACAAGGTACCGCAGGTGAAATTCCATCTGACCATAAGGAAAATGCTCTCGAGTGCAACTAAGCACTGAAACAGATTGCCAAGATGTGGTGGTACCTCCCTCGCTGGAAACATTTGACTCACCTTGACAGGGCAGTGGGTAACCTAATCTCAGACCTGCTTCCAACAGGAAGGTTGGACTAAGCTCCAGAGGTCCCTGCCAACGTCGGCTGTCCTGTGACTCCGTGCTACTAACTTAGGAGAGAAAGAAGGAACTCGGAAGACAAGCCACAGGCTACAGAAGGGCTTTCAGACGTCAGACAGCATTGACGCTAAGCCTTTGGCGGAATGGAGGAAGAGAGATGTGAGGAAATGTGTTCTTTTCCATCTACAAGCACATCTCCCACTAGCTTCCGTAGTGGGAACGGGCTTTAGAAACCAAAGGTGTCGGGCGTAGCGCGACAGCACTGTGTGACCCCTCTGGTTAGAAAAGCGTGCGCTAAAACCGGGCGGGGGGCCTGGGGCAGCGCACTGTGCACGGCACGCGCGCCTCTCCAGAAGGACCAGGGGGCAGAGGCCCGCCTGCACCCTGGGAGAGCAGCAGCAGCCGCAGGCCAGAGCTAGGCATCAGCACGCTGAAGAGCTCCTGGTTCCACCGGACTGAGACTGGATGAGTACAGCCCGAAAACTAAGAGGTTTCAGCGCATTCGTGCAGCACACAAGTTCGCAAATGGAAACTTTAATCCCTCTCAGAAATGAGAAAAGCTTAACGGTTGCTTTCTCACATCTTTATTTTGATGGAGGAAGGCAAATTACTGCTAGTGAACACAGTAAGTCTAATTCTCCAGTAGAAACTATAAAGAATGGAATTATTTATCCTTAACGTCTTAAAAATTAACTTGCAGTTTAGCTTTAAGAATCTCTGATAACAGAAGTATGGTGAGAATTGCATTTCAAGCAACTTTTATTGTAATATTGCCATTATTTATCTTAATTTCTTCACTCCATATTACATCTCTGATGACAGAAGGAATGTTACACTAATGCTTCTTTCGCTGGAAGTTCATTTAGTTAAATGCATGTTTCAGTGTACTTGTTTTATAGAGACATTAACTTACTTAAGGGTCTTATCTCCACACTAGAGAGAGGAATCGTTGTTTTTCTTAAGGAAGAGAGCGCTCATCTAAATTAAACTGTCAGCTTCTCATGGGGTTCTTCTGCTTTGTTTTCAAGCCGTCTTTCTTGACAGGTGGCTACTCTGTTCCAGTCAACGGAGGAAAATTCCATTAGAGATCTCGTCATCACCCGCAGTAAAACGGCATCTTCGGGGCTCTCGAGTGGCACTCTGCAAAAAGGGCAAAGCAAATGTGCGTGATCTGAATGTTTCCAAACTACTTTGGAGCTAATTTACTACATGTACTCTGTGTAGGATGTTGGAAGTCATGGTGACACTAACAGTGAGGAATTGAAAATTTTACATTTTTGGAAGGTTTCCTTCTTTTACCAAATTTAAGCAAGCAAAACAAAGTGAGAAAAGGTCAGAATCACAGGATTCTAAGGGAAAAAAAAATCATGGTATGAATTATTTAAAATACATATATAGTGGACTTAAAAATGTTATTTTGTTTTCACTGCTTTTTTTTTCCACAAAAATTATAATTGTTGTATACTTTTAATGTTCCAATTCAATGGAAATAATAAAGCTAAATTGATTATTTCATAGCGATATGCTACCTATTAATGCAAATGCACATTTATTTCACCACGGATCTTTTAACTAGCCATTCTGCAAATATCCGTCCTCCAAGCTCTGAGTCTAGAACAGTGTGAGCTTGTGTTGTTCACGCATCCTGCCACAGCTGCAGTCGGAGAGAGAAGTGGCAGATGCACAACATCAGTGCGGAACTGAGAAGGGCTTCACGTTAGCCCAAACCCTTTTAACTGGGATAGATACAATATTAAAACCTGATCTTGTAAGAATTTACTTCTTAAAGACATACCTGCAGTAACGCCCAACGGATATAAACCACTGGACTGTCTCCATCGAGTATAACACACTTGGTCACGAAAAAGCACCCTGCAGTGCCTGAGCACCTACGTAGGTAAGATGGAGAGGAGGCTGTGCAGCCACTCTATCAGTGAGGACAGCTAACTCCCCTGAAAGCAGGTAAGTATTAACTTTTGAACATAAATCAGCTTGATTGTAAAGAGTGAATGAATAGCTATATAAAATCAAATCGTTAAATGGTATCATCATATGTAGGCTTTTATTATTTCCTTTAATAAAATTTTAAAATATTTTCACATGTTAAGCTAGAAAGTAAAAACAAGCTTGATATCTGGTTTGTAAATTTACAAAGGTGGCATCTAAAATGTCATCACATTAAAATGCAACCTTTAGGTTGCCTCAATCCAGACACAGAGGTAACAGAGATAAGTTTTACGTTTATTTCTACGATTATGAAACCAAACAGAATAAAAATAACATCAAGTAAAGACTAAAAAAGTTTCATTCGACAAGTCATAATATTTTCCAGAGAGCATGTATTTTTGAACAGCCAGTCAGAAGAAAGTTTTCTAGGCCATAATATAGACCAGCTATGCTGATGCTGTAATACTTAAAGCATGCTTTTCCTAGTGATCAGTATTTGATCTTATAAATAAATAGCATTTTTATATACCCATTTCCAAATGTGGAATACCTTTCAATGTTAAATTTCAGACAGCAGTGGATAAGTTGTCTCATCAGAATAGTGTAGAGTTGCAATTATGCTAAATACAAAGCCCAGAAATTTTTTCAAAAGCTCGTTTTCACTGGACGTTTTCTCTGGTTAGGGTATTTTTTAGGCACAAGAATAGGAAATTAAGCAAACGCTTCAGAGATGCAAAATGAAAAAAAAATTTAAAAAAAAATTTACTTATTTGTGTGATTTCCAAATTTACAACCTATAAGAAAAAGTTCAAATTAAGACATTAATGGCGGTGCAGCATGTTGCTTCGTTGATGATTACCGTCCTGATCCTAAATTACTTGTTCAAATGAACTGAAAACCAGCAGATGATTTGAAATGTTCATCATATTTTATTAAAGTACTGTGGAAACAAGTTGGGGTTTTTCTTTAGTTTATGTAGTTCTTGTATTTTATTTCCCATAGACATACATTTCTATGCATTTTTTTTTTCTTTCACAAAAAAAATGATGCCACTACCTATATGTGTGAATGATTGCATGGTAGAGATAAAGACAATTGTATGCCTAGTTTGATAATCATCAACAAAACAAATAAATTATTAAATATGATTAAACTATCCTTTTTTTCCTAATCTTTTCCTTTTATCCTTTTTTTTTTTAACCTTTATTGTCAAATACACTGCTTTAAGGTTTACTACTGTGACGCATACATTAAAAAAAAAAAAAAAAGAAGCAGGTAATTTATTACTGTTCCAAACTTCATCTACACTACTGTTTACAATGCTACCGTGTCAGTCATCTATGCACAATATTGTTTTTCTTATCTTTAAAACACCAAAAAAGCAGATGAGATTGTGTGGGATTTCAGGGTTTGTTCTGGATTGTCATATGGTACAAGTCACAAGGCTCCAGGCGGTATTCACCTGCCTTCTCGTGCTGGAATCATGGTCTTCCAGATCTGAATGTTTTAAGAACTCTAAAAATTACTTTATATGCTCTTGTAAGACATCATTAAAATATTCTCAACTTGGAAAGCATGGAATGGAATCTGCTGACAAAACTAGGTGAGATATGTAAAATTTAAAGCACTATTTAGAAGAAAATACTTTCTTCAAGAGGTTATTTTACAAGCGCACTAGAGGGCATCAAAACTCTATGATGCTGATCACTGCCTGAGACTCAGCCTAGAAGTGTATTGAGATATTTTTAATTAAATAAAACGAAAACTAAACTATCACAAGACACATATTGGAAAAAAATGAAATTTTGTTTGTTCAGCTTTCCTTAAAGACAATTCAGTCACTGCAGGGAGTGACTAGAACTTGCTTGCCACAATACTTAGTAGAAGGATTCATTTGTTGCCTGTTGCTGCTACTAGTACTTACTTTATGAAGCAATTTGGTTGGGCTTCTGATGCATTTGTACTTTCTTACTGAAACAAGTAACTTATCAGATGAATGAAAAGAACTTTCTCGAATCAAATCACCTAAAAATACATGCTCTTCCTTACAGTTTTATAAATACCTGAGGGCATCATCAGTCTTCTGGCTGGTTGAGTGCATCTGCCAGGCCCCGCTGCAGTCTCCAGGAGTGTATTTACTCTCTTTCCAAAAGCAATTGACTCCACAACACGAGACCTTTTGTGGTTATAAAGATGAAGTGCCGACTCCCTTTCTCTTTGTGTAACTGCTGTTAAAAGGGATATAAAAATTTTATTTTTTCTACCAACTTAAAAGGCTGGTATTATCTATCTGCATGCAGAAGGTGATTCACGTTTTTGTGCAAAGTTCTGTAACAGCAGCAGTGTAAATCTGCATAATTTCACAATGATTCAAAATGGGAACATGGAGTGATACTTCCTAAGGCTTTAGGGTAAAGTCCTGTCCAATAATTTTTTTTTTTTTCTTTTGGCTGCAGTAGGATCATACGTTTTAAACCAAGAAACTAGAAAGCAAGACTCTTCATACCACTTAAATGAGATCTACCGTGTAAGTCAGTACGGATTTGGAAGTTTCTCTGTGAATAGCAAAAGCAAGTCTTGGTTCAATTCCCATTGCTCAGATACAGAGAAAACCGTAGGAGTGCAATCAAATGAAAAGCCTCAAAATTTCCTGTTTTGTGCTTTCATTAAAAAATAATTTTAAACAATGAGTTTGAGTCCGTTAAGCTAAACAGGGGCTGTTAACTTCAATGATACGAACTGCACGCTGTCTAGTACTTCAGCTGTGGAACAGAAGTGAGCTAAAGGTTTGGAACAAGTAACTCTAGCAGCAGCATTTTGAATTCAGGGAAGTTTTAAAGTCTTGGTGGCTAGGGGACCAATTAGGAAGGAAATGCCTGGAGGTAGCAGAAGTGTGAGCACGTCTTGCGTAAAGGAGACACCCCGGACTACGCTGTGGTAATGTTCCACAGATGGTGAAGAACCTTTGTTATGTTAGAGAAATAGTTCACTAAATAGCAAGTCCAGGGTACAGCTTGATACAAATCAGTGCCTTAATCCAGGACTGATTACGGTATAACTGTATTTAGGAGATTAAGTCCAGGGAGTTTTACAGAAGTGCTTCTGGAGCTGTAAATGCAACACGTATTTTCCAGCACATTAAGCTTCAGTCATCACTCCCTAGTCAAAAATGATCATCGGTAAAACTGTCTGACAGACATGCTAAGCACACGTATAACCCAAGACCAAGAGACTGGAGGTACCGGTGCCAAACGGATGTGTAAGCAAGCGGCCACGTGCTCAGGTCCAGCAGCTCCTCCTCAACCCCTGGCACGGCCTGCAGCCCACCGCCGGCTTTTCTTTGGGACAGAGCCGCAGTCTGCCAGCACCTGCAGGTGTCCTGGGGCTGCCTTGCTCAAGTCCTGCCGCCTGATTCTCCTAGGCACCGGGAGCAGGTTTTCAAGATGACGTTGTTTGTCCTTGCTGCATTTTATAAGGTAGTTCTGGGGTAGGAATCAACACCTTCATCCGTGCGCTCCAGTAATTTTCAGCCCTCCTGCCGATCACACAGCTCTCCAAACACCAGAGACAAAAATCATCAAAGTTGATTTTCTGGGTCCACTGTGGCATCTTTATGAATTGGCTGATATATCATCTGGCTGTCCTTAAAACAATTTTGTGTCTGTTTTTTTGGAGTGTTGGTTTGTGGTTTTTTTTTTTTTGGTTTTCTTTTTTTTTTTTTTTTTTCCCGGTAGAATTCATAGTAGACAAGCTGTGAAAGACCTCTTGATGATTTATTAAGATTTACATTTCAAAGCTTGGTCAGCATGTAGTTCATCAAAAAATGCGCATATACATCTTTAAACTGTGCAGAAATATGTAGATAGCTGAGGATATATTATCCATACCTAAGTAAACACACTTACCCATGTGAATAGACCAGTTTGAATGCACGAGTGTAGGTACATGTTTCTAAACACAGGCTTTTAGCTCTTACCCACTACAAGATAAACATACACAGTTTAAAAGGCAAAAAGACAGAAATCAAAAGCATTTGGCAAAGTAAACTGTTTATGCCATGCAAACTCTATTTGCTTAGGAAATCTTGCACAAAATGGGTTTCTGTTCATTAGATCTTTTGCTGTATCAACAAATGTGTGTAAAAGAACAGGCAAGATTAATTCACCTATTTTTCCAAACTAATAAAAATCAAAAGCAATTGTCAATGCTTTGTGAGAAGAGGAAAGCAACCCTTACGCTTCCTGTCAAGGAGCTGTACTGAAGGAAGGAGGTATATCACATAAAGCCGGTGGTCGGGGTCTTCTGCCAGAGGGTTATGGAATAGGTCTGCAAAATGTATACAGAAAAAAACAAACAACATAACAAAAAAACAAGCCCAGCAAAAGAAAAACAACTTAGCAAGGCAGCAAAATTAAAGATCACTAGTAGCCAAAGATTTTGCTCAAATATTATCAAACTCAAATTGTTCTTATGCTGGGTGAACAAAGCACAGTCTCTTTACACATGCAAAATTACTCAACTGAGCACAGACTGCAGGAATTGGCTTATTGCAGAGTATCCAAAATACCACAGGCAAGAACTGAGTAAAGGTGCCATCACGCGCTCCAAACCTTTGAAGTTTTTCTTCTATTTTTTATGATACACAGACAAAACCACTAAGTGTTTGCCTTTGATTTCCCTATGTATTGTTAGGTGATGCCTATTTTAAATAATAGTAGATTTTTAGGTGTGACAGCTTAAAGGTAAGACACAAAATTTGTAGGGGGAGAGAGTTATTAAAACCAGATGAGCTCTAGGACACCTAGAGCTTTATCACAGCTGATATAAAGCTTTTATCCCATATATTGTATTCATAGATAAAATGTAAATACCCAGTCTTCTGATATTCTGACAGATTTAGACTTCGAAAACTCAAGAAACTTAAAGAGTAAAATGTTTAAAAGGACCCAAGTTCCTGAGAACCTGGATCCCACTGACTTTCATTGAGACTTGTGGTACTAAGCTCCAAAAGCCCATTAGCAATTTGACTAAAATATTTACATTCAGGTTTGCTAAATAACAGAATGTTACCTGAATAACAGAACCTTTGCAACACAGAGATGGGGATCAGTCCCGTGCTGCTGCTTTGCCAGATGTGAAACATCTGCCTAGCTGACATGCCAGATCAGTTTGTTTCATGAGAGTGATAACTGAGGTTAATTAAAATATAAACTGGCTCATTCCCAGATCAGCTAACAAACAAACAAGTGTTGTTGGGTGAGGTTTTTTTCTAAATGAAAAACATAGTAATGCCATTTTTCTCCTTAGACAAGTGCTCTTCTTCTGAGACAGTAGAAATAATCATGAGGCTGCTACCTTGAGATCAGAGAATAGAAAAAAAAAACATCTTAGAGTAATAATTTTGGCAACTTCTATCAAAGTCTACACTGGTCTGTTTTTCTCTTTTTGAGGAGAGGCTGTGGCTAATATTCACTCTAGGGTAAAAAATCCTGTTACATATAATTTTAGCAGTAAGGGAGGGAAAGATTGTATCACAGAAGCAAAGAAGAGATACTAGAAGAGGAAAAAAGTCTGGAAATATTCCACATAGATTTGCAAACTACAAGATGCCTTTTCATGTTCTTCAGGACAAGTATGACTGCCAAAGAGGGCTCAGTGCTTGATGCAATTCAGCAGTTATTTTAAGGGCACAGTAAGGCTGCAATGGGCATTTGGTATCTCCAGCACAGAAAGCATCTGTTCATGTATCCAGAGCAGAACTTAAAATATTTTAATTCTTTAACAGATTTTTTAAAATCACTCTACTTAAAAGTAGTAAGAGACCCACAAGGTGGCAGCAGAAGAAAGTTCCATTTTTCATTAACAAAATAGTATATAGCTATTTTTTCTAGAAAGAGTTAATAAGAAAGAATATTAGGTGTGTATCTGCTAAGTCTGTTCTTGAGTCAGTATGTGATAGCATTCCAGAGAGAAAACTGTTTCAGAAAGATCTCTAAAAGCAGGTACGTTTGGTGGTGGAATGGAATGAAGACTCAAGAGAGATTTTTCCAAGGCACAAACCAGGGTCAATACTAAGTAGTTCTGAATCTGGATGCTACTTGGAGCACGTCCCTCCTCATCAGCACTGATCTGTAGGTTTATTTTAGAGTATATGAATTTTTCTACTGCTCATTCTTACAATAAATGCAACCATTGTATGGATCAAGATGGTCTTACTTTGCAAAACATCTGGGACCAATTCTTGCCTCTGCTATCTACTTTCTTGTCAAGGTCGAGCAATTTTACTTCTACAAATTAAGGATAATGCTTTCTTCCTCCACAGTTTTGTCTGTTTTCTCTATTTGGAGTGCAGGAAAACAGTGTGCCTATCCCACGTGGGGCAGAAAGGAACTACTGTGGTAGAAACATAGCAATGAACAAAAAGAATTTTCTGAGGTCTAGCAGCAAGATGTTATCAGCTGCCGATAATAAATCAGTTGAGGCAATTTACAGAGTACATAACAAAAATCTTGGAATCTGAGAGGGAGATGTGACCACAAAGTGAGCCCATAAAGAAACCCTCCATATCTCCTCAGAGGCTGCAGTTGTGAGCAACCCATCCAGTAAATCTTTAGAAGCTGAGTGTCTTCTCTAAACGCCTGATGAACAATGCTGTTATGCTACAAATCCAGTGCAGGGCAGTGGCTAAAAATCACAAGAGAGCCTTAAGGAAGAGAAATGAAACGTTTTGGCAGCTGGATGCTACTTCTGAAATGAACAATAACAGTGTATTAGACTACCCTGTTTTAATAGTTCTCATGTCCCCAAGAGCTACAAAATAACAACATGCTTCACCCATTTCACATTTCTTAATATTGCAAGGGGGGGTATAAATGATATAGTAATATGATACGTAGGATATTACCTTTAAAATTGACTTCGGTCATTTACTGCTGTAATTTACTTCAAATATGACAGTACATTTTATTAAACCAATAGAGTCCTGTTAATTTGAGAACTCATTATTATGAAGTCTCTTTGAAACAACCACAGTGACAATTTTTTCATGACTGCAAAGGTCAAAAATGACTGACTGTGAAGTTATGGTTACTATGTTTCTTCCACTGATTAGCATTCACGCTCATATCTTTGAAGTAAAGAACAAACTTTTTATCAGGGTACACTGGTATGTTCTACATATTGTTTGATAGGTTTCTTACACACTTGCTTTCCTACTGTGGTGGCCAGTTCAATACACACCCAGTTCTCACCATGCCTCTGTGACTGCTATTTAGAATAACTCAGCAGCACTTTAACTATCTGCTGTTTGTCTTTATTTCCCACAGACAGTTGCAACAAGTAAAACAAACTCTCCACGCTTGCTGAAGCTCCTTATTAATTTGTAGAGCTCTAACATTAAATTCAGGTGACTGCACCATTAATACATAGGATGTCTGTCCAGACTGGCTGATCACTTCAAACAACTGCATTCTTAAATTAACTATTTTTTCAATCTTGCCTATAATGAAAAAAAATCACAATAATTTGGCTGGCAGGTTGTCTTCCTAAACACTTGATTTGTTTGTTTAATTTTGGCCCAGTGTCAAGTTCAATTAAAGGTGTACTTTTCAAGCCGTATTTTCCTTTCCTGCAATCAGACATTCAGTTTTCTGAACACATAAGAAGGCACGGCTCGATGACATTCACCTCCATTAACTGTGTCACTAAGATGTGAAACTTCTTTCCTGTTTCCTCAGAGTACTGAGGGTTTGGCATAACCTGTGATGACATTCTTTTAGGAACCATGGAAAAGGCTGCTTACATTTTCACTTTCAATAGGTTAATAGCATGTAATCCTACTTTCCCTGGAGGGTACTTCTTACACTGTAAGTTAGTGGCGCCAACACTGTTTGTATAAATTAATTTCAAATTTCAGAGCCTATGCTACTTTCATTTCCAGCCAGTATATCAGAAAGCATGCTACTTAACAGGTATTGTGATAGTTAATATCTAAACTATATTTATCCTTAGACTCCAGAAACCCACAGTCTGCCAAAGAGATGCAGGAAGTAAGTTCTATGAGCAACAGAATTAATGAGCCAGGAATTAGGCTTCTATAACCTATCACTTACACTCTCAACAGCAATAACACCCACTTCTCAACTCCCTTCACCTCAGTGGTAGTCTCACTGTGCTCCCACGTTCCCTTACAGAAACGCAGCAGTAAACTGCTCTGACTGCATCGAAGCTACTCATTCAGGAGACTGGCTAGCCAGCAGCCAAAAAGTGTTAACTTTTGAACTCATTTGGCAGTTTTCTCTTAGTTGAGGTACTCTCTGTGGAATTTTCATGTCTTGGAGATCTCTTTCTTCTGTCAAATTTGGTTGAAATTGATAAATCAGCTTCAAAAGCTATTGGTAAATTATGCGGAAACAGACAAGAAATATCCTGTTAAGAAACACTAAAAAACTACTGCTTGCTGTTCTGCACAATAAAAATAAGGTATTACTTAGGGTCTGCAAGCTTGTAATTCCTTTCAATTCCTTCACTGTTTTGCCAAGTTTTTTTTAACTGGTTGTTGTAAAGCAACAGAATCTGTAATGCACGTGTTTCAGAGCACCTGAAATAAAATGAAAAATAATTAATTATTCTCACCATACTTTACTGCCTTGATTAAATAATTATTTTGTTATGATGCACACTGATTTTGATATTCTGGTTATCCACCTATGCCTGCCTTTTGGTAACACCTTGCATGAGATTAGTAAAAAAAAATTATCAGAGATTTGAATATTGATTTCATCTTTCTAGTCACATCCTTTGAACATATGCCTAACTTTTTTCATTCCAGTTCCTTACACTTCTCCCCATCACCCTTGCCTCAACAAATCAACATCAACTGCATCCTCTCTTCTTCCTCTCTTTCTTCCTCCTATATCCTAATAAGCTTTGATTAATTCATCTTCACTTCCTTTTACCCTGACCTAGTATTACCTTTGCCTCACAAACAATAGTATATCCTTAATACTACCTTTGCCTCACAAGCAGTAAGTGGCGAATTCCATAGAAAAGAGTTCATTTTCAAATAACTATTGACGCATTAAAAAGTTATTGCAAAATATTGTTGTGGCTGACCCAGACTATTTGTTCACACCCTCGCACCACATCAGGCTTAGACATCTCATTTTCCAAGTTCTATACAGTATTTCTCATCCCTATTTCTCTACCAATGATGCTTGTCCTTCTGTTTACCCATATTTTGTTATCTTCTCCATCGTCTCTTGTACTCATGTTTCTTTCCTCCAAACATTCATTTTTCTCAAAATCTCACAGAAATTAATCATTTCTCGTCCCAACACTTTATAGGGACAAAAACCAGTAAAATATTAACATTTAAAATGTCTAAAATATACACAAATTTATTATGCTTTGGCCTCTTCATCCACAAATTCACTAGTCTGGTACACCCACTTTAATCTACAAGAACAAGATAAACTGAAATAGAAATGTGAAACAGCTGCAATTTTACAATAAAACAATTTTGTAGTAACCTTGCAAAATAATTCTGACTATAAATGTAACTATATAATGAAGAAACTGCAGAACCTTAGTGACTACCTTACAAGTAGGACAACTTATTGATTTATTACCCTTTTATTTTCACGTTAAGTCTGTCAGCACCGCTATCAGTTTTTCATCATAAAAATACTAATGGCTCTCAAAAGGTACTTCTATCAACTTACAGAGTACCTGGTCAGCAAGAGGACTACAAATTACCTTGTAAAAAGAGCTTTGCATGTTATTTTTCAATATAAAATATGGTTAGGTAAGATCAAAAATATTTCACAAAATTGCCTGACATTAAAGTGAACAAAATTTCATCCCTTAGACCATAACAAGCATATCACATTATTGCCACTCAAGTATGCTGAAACAATTAAATCTCTAATAATTAACATGTATTGTTATACATACATAGGAGCTTTCAACCATTAAGTTACTTCCTGTCATCCACTTTTATAAATTTGAATGCCAACACACAGAAAATAAAATATAGGCTTCCACTCAACAATCTAAAAAGGGCAGATTGGTACCTGATATATCTGTCAGGTCATTATTGTTGAGGTAGAGTTCAGTCAAGCAATAGTTTTTGATCAAGAAAGTTAAATCTTGGATCTGAAATTAGAGTTAGAAAAACTGTTATATTCCAGTCTAAAATTAACTTTGGAGAAGTATAAACACAGCCTCTTGAAAACTGTCTAACTTTAGGTAGTTTCTTATATTTCTGCTTAAGACTCTTGGTTTAAGGACTCTCTTGACAGCTGAGCCTTCGTTACACATACTAACTACACATCAAATATACATAGTCCAGCCTTCCCTTTTTTTTTTTTTTTTTTAAACTACAAATGTAGTAACAGATTTCATTGAACTACTGGTCTTCATATTTTCTTTTCTATTCACATTTGAAATCTTTTTTATTGTAAGAACATTCTTGTAGGATGTAATAACTCCACGCTGATTTAAGAATACTCCTGAAATATAATCTTGGAATAAGCTCAGCATCTAGTTCTAAAATTATTTTTTCATCAGCAGCTCCAAAGAGCACATATTTATTCTAAATTTCCAAAAATTACATTTACTCAAATTTACAGAATCAATCACAATTTCAGAAAAAAAATGTATGTAAGGGTATACTCCCGACAAAGAGTCACTTTCAGTCTCTATGAAATCTCATCCTCTTGCTCGGAGGATCTCAGTTCTAATGCAAGGTAAAGTATATGCAATGGGATACCAAGCTGACCATTATAATGAGAACTGGGAGTACTAATGGTGCCTAAGTATTTATCCTACAGTTTAAATACAAGAACAAACAGAATTTTATTCCTGACACTACTTTGATTTCCGTGATGCAAAGTCATTTCTTAGAAGAGGAAATTATTCCAGTCCTTGGAAGGTGCTACTGATTTGAAAACAAATGTGCTTTGCTCTGTGCACTAACAGTATCTGAAAGTTGGAAGGGAGAGAATAAGAGAGAGGTTCTCCCATTCCTAAAGTTCCCTGAAATCCTCTGAGAAAAAAACACTTTAAAGTTCAAAATAATACCATTCTCTGAGTCTTGCTTCACCTCAGAAAAATCTGGTTCAGTGAAAACAGCAATATTCTACAAATAAAAAAATGCTATTCTTCACAGTGATTATTGTGCCTTGTATAGCATAAAGCCCACACATACCTATTGTATCTAGTGGTGTTCCTTTCTGTTTGTTTGGGATTTTTTAGGATCATCTGAAATTTTTTTTTTTTTTTGTGATAAAATTACTGTGATGCATTTTTAAGGAAAGAAAAGAAGATCTCAGAACTTCTGAGTTCAGAAAAATATGCTCCCCCTATTAGAACATTTAGCTGTGAATTCTCCTAAGAAAAGCCACTGAGTGGCTTCTCCCCACAAGTTATATAGAACAACAGAAGAATGATCTTTGTTACTGCTTAGGTAGAAACATGAGATCTGTGCAAAAAACAGATTTATCTTTTATGGTCAACAAGATCAGTTCTGTTTAGTCATCAGGCCATTTCTTCTTATTTTTTAGTGTCCTTCAGAAATACAAGGGAGAGCCTTATTACACCTGGGATTTTAGTTGCAATCTTGTAATGTATCCATATTTTTGCTTTTTTTGAAAATGGTTGAATAACCACAGGTCTTGCAATGAATTCAACATAAGATGTTATATAATTGATGTTAGCCTGGGGCAGCAGATATACATACACTCCTAAGTGACATGGAATGTAAATTTATTTTTTTCTGCTGCTCACAGAGCTACTTATTTACCTGAGCAAGAAATTCTGGTGTTTTAAGAATGTGAGCCCATTGTGGAAGTCATGTAAACTACTGTAAAATAAGATATTTAAAAGCAGGTTAAAAATTAATATTTTTTATCACTTTTCTTGCTCTTTAATTACCAGTGGCTAACGGTAAAGGTTTGGATTCAATTCAACCATTTAATAATGGTTGGCTATGTATTTGGAGATTTCTACATCAGATAATTCTATTGTCAAGTAGATGATTTTGTGTAAGACACAATGTGCTTAGACTTGGCTGAAATCTGTAGTGTCCGGAGATTTTGACAGCATTGTCTTAAAACCCCTGCAGGATATAAATACTATAATCTAGATTTTCAAAGATGGAGAAAGTAAGGCACGTGGTTTGTGTAACTGATTTAGGACCATACATTGCCCTGGAAACAAGAGAAATTATTGTGGCCCAACGTCATACTCTAATCACTTGCCTGGAAATATCTCTTAAATCAAACAAGTCCAGGTGACACAAGGGCCTGCGTAAGAGCAGAAGGTACCCCACCAACCCTAGCTCTGCAGAGCAACCTCCTATGCACAGGGAGAAGCACATCTGAAAGAATGATATGGCACTCTGGTGTGCATGAGGGCAGGAAGGAGTCTCACCTCAACCACCAGCCTGCCGGGAAATACACAGCACATGTCTGCAAGGGCATGAAAAAAGAGCTAAACTTTTCCTGCAGTCCACTCCTTTCCTGAAAAACTAGGAAGACCCAAAGTTCTGATAAGAAAACCTGACAGCCATTCCACCCCTCAGTCTGTTCCGAGAGCTGCCCGCTCTGGTGGGCAGGAGATACTTGCCATGAGCTACGCTGGAAACTCCAATCCCACATCTCAGTTATCAGTATGCTATCAGGCAATTTTGGCAATAACTTAGTTGTAAATATACTCAATTTTATTTTTTATTGCTAAGGTATCAGCACAAAATCTTAGCTTCTTAAATAAACAAAATTTATAAATGTGATGTGAATCTAAAGGAAAAATGTATCAGCTCATACTCTGTGATGTAAAACAAGATACTGTTTCTTCAAAACTGTCACATTTGAATCAGTGAAATTTGTCTGGAAATTAATTAGATTAACAATTATGAAATACTTTATGTTACAAAAATTACAAAATAATAAGCAGGGAGTATAGATGCATTGTTCTGCTCTTTAAAGGAATACCTTATTACCTTATTGTTGTTAATCCACAAGTACCTTAGCCTATGAAGCTGTGATAGACCTGGGATACTTCTTAGTCCTCTGGTGGAATAAAAAGAAAAAAAGAGTAACAAATTTCTTAACATTAATGGTGCTTAATCACTTTATAAACAATTTTTTAATAAATAATATTGTACAAGTGCTACAAAGCCACACTTCTGTAGAAATCATAGCAGAGAAAGATGCAAAGAATAAGATGGCAGAGACAGTGTAAGCATTCTACACACCTGAAAGCATAACAAAGCAACAGGTGGTAAAGAAATGGGAACAAACTAAGTGATAAATTATTTTTTTTTCCATAACAGCATTTACTTATTTTCCCAGGGACTGTGAGTCCCATGTACTTTGCAGTTTGTAGAAATTCTGCTCAGAACACCAGAGACGTTTGGCATCCTGAGGAAACAAACCTAAAAGGAAAATTGTTTTGAAGATGCAGTGTGGATTGTTCAGTCACGGTGCAAGAGAAGCAGCAGAAGACAGGCACCAGGCACATCAATGTACATTTCTTACTATTTTTCGTATTAGTGTATATTGTGAAATTTTTTGCCTTTTTTTTTTCTCCTCTCCTGCCCTCATTTAAACTTAGTATTTACTCATACTCACTAGCAGTCTTGTTTTAAATCAAACTGCACAGCCACTGAGGCTGGAACTATCTCCTCTTGTGCTCGTAGGGTTTTTTGTTTAATTGTGTATCTAGCACTTTGAGCTCACTAGTGTACTATAAATAACAAATTACCTACTAGCCAGAGAATATTAGTGAGCTGCCAAGTAACTTACACTAATTGCTCCTCCTTGTTTTTCATTGCTTTAAATAAATGTTCTTGATTTCCACTGGAATAATTATGGATGACCTTTACATGGCAAATTTTAATTGACATAATAAAAGTTTCATCATAGATTTTAACATATTGCAAGATTAGGGACAGTGTTTCAGAAGGAACTAACAGGATTGATAAAAATTAACCTTCCATCGTCAGCCTAAAATGATCTGCTTGTTTTCCAACTGTGAAGCCCAGTCTCTAGTTTCCCATGTGACTGGTTTTTTTCAACAAACCCTCCAGATACAAAGGGGGAGCAGACACTTCTGATCTTGCATTTAAAAAAAAAAAAAAAAATAACCTGTCAAGAGCAAACCCTTCAAAGTTGAGGTGCTGTACTTTAATTCTCCTGTATTTCTGAAAACCAGACTATCCCATGCTGCTACTTTGTTAAACTGTTTATCTGGCTTCCTCAAATAATCGGTAAAAATGAACCATGCAAATATGTCTTTATGTGTCTAGTGTCACAAGTAACCAGAAAATACATTACTGCAGGTAGTAAGCACAAGCAGATGAGTGTTGACAGGACATACAGAGATCTTACAGAGCTACCATCTAATTCTTCTGTATAATTCTACTTGTACATCCCTGAACTACTTTTCAGGTATCAAGGCCAAAATTTCCCTCATATTCTTTGTCACTGCCATTCTATACCTAGTTTACAGGTTTACATTTTAATTGGCTTTACGCCCTCTCTAGTAACAGCCTCGTCTTGACTATCTCTGTTGTGGGTTTGTTTGGGTTTTTGTTTTGTTTTCGTTATTTTTTTTTTAATTGGTATTAAGGCATTTCATTTGCCCCAGGTAGAGATTAATTCCTCCAACATTTTAAAAGAGCCTGTCCTTTTCTGTATGCCTTCCAGACTTTGCATGTCTCTTACAAACTGATCTTTTTTGGCCTGCAGCACTCTTTTCCTACCTACTGCTAAGTTAATCAGTTTTCCTAGGATGACAGCTTTCAGTGCCCAGAAGTACATATTTCCATGTCCCTTTAATAGTAGTGGCTTAAAACTATAAACTCATTCCCTCTTATTTGACTGACTTTAATTTTTATTTTTTCATTTTCTTTTTTTCAGCCAGCAGAAAATTATGTCAAACCAACAGTTAAGGAGACATGATCTGATACTGAGATTGGGTGAGGTTCATATAAATTGGTATAGAATAAAACGAATTCACTTCTGTCCAAACATCAAAGAAACCAGCTTGCATCACCTTTCTCAAAATAGTTTAATGGGAAGACAGATCACTTCTACATCTGCCATGTGAAGATTTATTTTTATTCCACACCAAAAAATATTTCAGAGCCAGTAAGGACACACATTTAAGTATTTAAAATCAGAAAATGTGCCTATTAAGACTGTATACACAGTCTTAATTCTTTTACACATACACATAATAATTTTCTTGTATTGTTTAGAAAACATATATGTACCTTGTAATTTTTTTATTATTTAAATGTTTCTCTTAGATTTTATCTCTGTTTTCATCTTTCTAAAAGACATATTTTAATTATTTTAACAGTAACTATATGTTTAACATTTTCTTTTCACAAAGCATCAAACACTTTCTTGGTGTAAATCAAGGAGATATGCCAAGGAATATAAAGATACTAGTGGGCACACTTGATTTCCAAGACCACATGATCTCCACTAAAAACTGACCAGACATCACTGAAGCCCCTTAACACTTTTTTTTTTTTTTTGTATTCATAGGACCTAGAGACCTTGAAAACCTTGTCCCTGAATTATGAAACTACATTAGTTCTTTATACATGCATCAACCGTACAAACGGTAGATGCAGTTGTGAGGCTGCAGACAGGTATGCAACACTTGGAATTATGCCCTGGCCAGAAATTCAAAGTATGTTTTCCAAAAACTTTGAAGTATGCCCTGTCACGTACCCATCTTTCTATGGTAGCTTCTCAGCATGTTCATCCTACAACATACACCTCTATCAACCTAGATCACCCACAGGTTCATGAAAGCTTTGCCTTCCTTCACTTAGCACGGTTTCTCCTCCTCATCTGCCCTACATCTTAAGCTGTTTCATAAAGCTCTTAGAGGAGATCAGTTCTCTGATCAGTACTGCCAGACCCAAACAAGTCCTCTTGTACTTGTACTCCATGTTGCCCTGCCCTCCCCTGAATTCTTAACAGTAGAGGTGCAGGTAATTTCAAAGGTGCTACCAATGAGTTTTACTGTTGCAATAACAGATTTCTTCAGGGAGGTCAGAAATTTGGCAGTTTGTAGACTGGGCAGGTCCTATGTTTTTTTCTTTTGCCTTCGTGATACTCTTTCCACCCAGCCTTACAAGCCAGTTAGAACAAGCAGAAATCAGCCCATTAAGCCTCACTCCTCTGCTCCCTGTGGTAGAGGTTCATGCACAACTCTGTGAACTTACAGACCCTCGAGCAATTCTAGATTGCTGGAGAAGGATTGTGCACCTAGGGCTGAGGCAGTTAACTCTAAGTATACTCTGCTGTGTATGTGTCAGTATATCTTTACCATTTCTTCCTTCACAACATGTATGGACTAGGTATAAATATGATTTACTGACATTTCACATATAAGTGATGTTCAGAGAGTACCTAAAACAGAAAGCACTATGAAAGGTTACCATTTACCGTGTACTCTACCTCTAGTAAAAGACAAACTCAGAAACATATTTTACTTACTGTCCAGCCAGATACAAAACTAAGACATCCACATTCTTCTTAAAGCCACAGATCTTCAGCTGTTTTTCTACTGCCTGACAGTATACAGCACATTTGTCAGCATAATATACCGCATAATTATAAATTCATTACATAACACATACATATTCAGTGTCTAAATTAATATGCACACCAAAATAAATATATGCATCACAGCACTTTGCAAACCATAACATAGTCTGAGAGGAAGAGATATTAAATTAGCAGTCTCTACTTTAAATTGATAAAGTATTCCAACAATTATGTCACACACATTTTATTTTCCTGTGGAGATTCATAGTTTGTAGACATGAAGTGAAAAAGTAATGTATGTTGACTGGAGAATGGGCTTCTCAGTCAGGTCAGCCAACCCAGTACAGGTGATTAACAAGAAAACTGCTTACCTTGCAATACAGTTGCAACTTTATTTTACGCAATTTTACTTTCTGCACACAACATTCTAAAATTATGCATCTAGAAAACTCTGCTTGTACATTTAATGTTGAAAAATACACAATTTTGATTTTCAGAGTATACTACTGATGTGCTAGAATTTGTAAAAGCAACAAATCCTAGTAACATAAGGATTATGGATCTCAGTTACTAGTAGTTGATAAAAAGTAAAACTTGTATCAGAAAAAAAAAAAAAAAAAAAGGGTTTACTACAGGAGTCATTATGACCAACATCATTAAGATAGCTGTTGCTTAAAACACAAAAACTGTTGCAACTTCACAAACACAAAACGGCTTGGAAGCGCCGATGGGCATGCCTACAGCAGCCTGTACTGGCTGCACAATCACTCCAGCCCGTCCCGGGCCCGCTGAACATACACAAAATAACTGGGGGTGCACTTGCAAACGTGCTGGACCTGTGGCACCTTCCGAACCGAGCACGCTCGGCGCTGGCCGGCCGTGCAGCCCACACGCTTGTCGCTTGTGCCGCACCGCTGGTGTTGGGACAGCGGCCATTCGCCCGGGAACCCGAGCCGGTCAGCAGCCTGACTGCAGCGGTCAGGCAGGGGAAAAAAAACTGGGACAAATGGCCTGGTTTTCTTTCAACGCAGGCAAAATCTGCAGATGGAAGAAGAAGCGCCATCTGGAGAAGAGGAGCTGTGCTCTCAACCCCACGCGCGTTGATGTCCGTCCCCGGGGCTGTGGAAGGTGCAGGGCTGCCAGACCCACCAACGGGGAATGCACACCTACTCCAGAGAACAGAAATCTCAAGGGATTGCGATCGACGGCCAAGTAGATCGCGCCCCAAGATCTCTACTCCTCAACCTCCATCACACGAGCTCTCACCCTCACCCCGCCCCGGCAGCCCCTTTCCCTGTCACTCCCGGCTCCCCGCCACAACGCCCCGCGGCCGCTGCCGCGGAGCTCAGGTGCGCGCCTGCACTCGGCCAAATCTGCCCCGGGAGGAGCCGGCTGTGGCGCAGGGGTTGGGGCCGGCCCCTTCAGAGGAGCCGAGCCGCCGGCTGCCGCCCCGGGGCGGGCGGGAGGCAGCCCGCCTGGCCAGGGCGAGCGGGGGAGGCTCGCTCCTTCCGCCGCACGCCTTCACTTGGTATGCGGCACCGGGCCGGCCCCGGCCCGGCGGAGCGAGGGGGCGAAGCCGGCGCCGCCCGCCTGAGGGGACGAGGGGCCGCGCCGGGGGCGGCCGCCGTTGGGGGCGGGAGGAGGCCGCCCCCCGGCTCACCTGCCCGCCGGCGCTGGCGGCCGCCGCCATTTTGGAGTCCCGTTCCTAGGCAGCCACGGGGCAGGGGCCGGAGCTGCGGGGGTGGCAGAGGGTGGTCTGGCGCGGCGAGGACAGCACCGGCCCGGCGCTCCCTTAGGAACGGCGGCACGGCTCTAACACCGGCCCGGGAGCCGGAGCCGCTGCTGGGCAGCCCGAACCTGGGCGTTAATTAAGACAGGGCTTCGTGTCGGGTCGGGGGAAGGAGGGTGGCGGCGAGCGGGGGGCGTCCCCCGGAGAGCGCGGGCAGCCGGGGCTCGGGGGGACCCCGGGATGGCGACGGCTGAGGGAGAGGGGGAGAGACCCGCTTCACCTCTGTGCGGTCTCCCGGGTCGTATTTGCTCACAATCCTGAAAGTTGTACTGCCTTTGCCATTTTTTTGTTTGTGTGTTTGTTAGTTTTGGTGTTTGGTTTTGTTGGTTTTGTTGTTTAAACTACATTCCTGCGTAGGCTTGGGATTTTTTTTTTAAAAGCACAAATACTATGTGCATGTATGTATATATGTCTCTTATAAAGAAAACACTCGTGAGTTTCAATTTACAACTAATCTACACCATATATATTACTTGCAACTTGCAAATAACCTTGGTGCTTGAGAAAACATCTCCCAGGCCCGCTCCTGGAACCGGCCCGCTGCTGCGACAGCACACTTGATAGAGTGTGGTTGTAAAGGAACACAAAATGTTTATGACATCCATGTGCAAGCAACTGTTGCCATGTTGCTATTTTTATAACCATTTTACTGCACAGCATAAGCTGAAAAATAGAAAAAGCCATTTCCAGTGTGTGTGTGTGTGTGTGTACACGTGCATACTTATGTGCATGTGGGACAGCAGAAAATGTTTGATCAAGCTACAACAAAAATATGTCTGAAAACTTGGAGCTTTATTTAAAAATTAATTTACACAAAGTATTCAAGTTAGCAGATATTGTAAATTATGTGCAACTGATACACAAAGAGCAAGAGTTGTGTGTGCAAATATATGAATAAGCTGTCCCTCATGGAATTAATTATGTGCGTGCCTTTGCTTGTTCAGACCACTGAAACTAGATGTAGTCTGTATGATGGAGGAATGGGACTACAGTACAAGTATTATATTGCAAATACCTAATTTTCATGGAAAAATTGTGTGGGTGGCTTCCATTTCAGCTAGGTAGCTTTAAACAAACCTTAAATAAGAAGACTAAACATCTTAAAAGTATAAAACTGACAACAGAGATGTCTTTAATCACATATTTTAGCTTCTAAAAATATCTCTAGGGTATTAAAAAAAAAAGAGGAAATGTACTGAAGAACAAGAAACTGGTACATAAATCCATATTTTTTTTCATTTTACATTGGAGTTCTGTGTTTTCAACCAACAAGGTAAAGCTACCACTTTGGGATAGTGAAAGGTGACATGATTATTAAAGAAAATTTAATAATAATTAAAGAAACTTAATAATAAAATTGTCTTATCAACTAGTCCAATTAACGTGATATGAAAAGCAAATTCAGTAATGTAAAATGTATATAGAGAGGGAACATCTAGAAGATACTGTGTTGCGTTCCAACACAGAGGTGTGACATACATGGGTTGAGGTTTGTTTTGATAGGCGTTGTTTTTCTGAGGGGCTTCTCTCTATTAATAACTGGTATCTACCAACTTAGTCTGGATGCCTAAATGGACGCTGTTTGAAATTCAGGAAAGTTAATCTCTTTTTCATTCTGCAAGTTGACACTTAAAATCCCCACTAAATTTAAAGGAACTTGGGCATACTTTTTGTATTCAGACTGAACTATCACCATATTTTACACTGACTAGGTGTTGTGCTTTTCCAAAATATGTAACCCATCGCTTACTTAGTCCTATTTCTGGATTGCTGTGCATAAAATGAATAAATGATCACTTGTCCTTTGGATATTCTGAATAATGGTTTGCTTGCTATACATGTTTTTCCAAAAAGTTCTCACTATACTTCTGTACTAAAAATACTTAATTTGCTTATACATGGATACACAGTTGCAACAAGACAATGGGATCTTACGTGATAACAGAACATAAAAATAGGGGAAAACACACCTCTTCTGTTTTTACTGACAAAGATGGTAGGACAGAACAGGAGATGATTAATTTTGCAAACCGTCAGGACTGAAGATGCCTAGGGGAGTTCATGTGACCCACAGAGCAATACCTTTTATTCCCTAAGGGACGCTCCTAGTGCACTGGAGTATGTCCATGCTTCAACCGCACACCGTGGGTAGAGGGGATTGTCATTGTGTCACTTTAGAGACCACATTATAGAAAAAAATAGATTTCCTTTGGATAATAAAGTTCAGATTAAACCTGGTTAAAAACATAACCTGTCTCTGTCCATGTTGCTGAGCCCCTGTACATGGGCTTGGATGCTCTCTAGTCCAGTCTCCCATATTCTCCATCCTCTCTGGGGAAAATAGGTGGGAAGAGTTTTATCATTCTAGCAAGTGACACTTGGACAATAATGAGGTGATGGGCTAAATCGATCCACCATTTATTTTTTTTTGACTTCCCAGTGAAGGGCTTTACTGGAAAATTGACAGCGCAATGGCTCTTTGTAACTTAACCTGTTGTTCAATATCTGTGAAAGATGCAACATTCTAAAAACCAGTGTTTAATATGTGTTATTTTTAATCACCAAAGTTTATAATCTTCGAAATTTAGTTGTTCTTTGCCTACGATATTAGAACGATGTTCTTTATTTTTCAGGGTTTATATTTGATATCAGTTTATCATTTCTAAAAATTACAGTTTTGAAGGTCTCCATTGGTCTATGTAGTATACTGGCAAGATTATTGTTTCATGCAATGTCCCAAATATTTTAAGGAAAATCTATTTTCATTTTCATACAGATAATTTAAACTACTTGCATATTAGTCTCACATCTGTAGTCTTATTGACCCCTGATTTAATGTTGAGTGTGTTTCAGTGCATTTCCCTGACAAGGCCTGCATTTTTACAGCATATTTATTTAGTGTAAAAAGAAAAATATTTAACAATGAAAAATAAAATAGTAAGATTGCACTCACCATTTTTTAAAAGAAATGGATACAATATACACCATTACAGTATGGTGCTGGCACAGTTTTTTCCTTTTCTGTCTTCTATAATTAAATACTTACCATCAGAGGTACTGTGGTGCGTGGCTTTTTCACAAAAGGTAATTTTTAAAACCATCTTCATTTTATAGAATCAACTAATTTAGGCTGGAAGGGATCTCTAAGGGGTCATCTAGTCCAACCCCCCCCAAAAAGCAGATCCTACTACAAAATTATCTTCCGTCTCACATGTTTGTACAGTTCTGCATACTTACAGAGCACCCATCAAAAAATAAGGGAATTATCTGTGACAAATTTTTAATTGCCTGTGTTTTACTAATGCTACATAAAAATGAGTACAATTAACTTGCTTTTGAGGTTGCAAATACATTTTGCTAGGAAAGGTGTGAAGTAAATGCAAAATGTTGTAGATAAATATGTATTTCCTTTTTTCTTCTTGTTACCGGAAATATTTTATCAGTGTTTATCAGGTGAAACCCAGAAGCCTGAGGAAAGATCGGTAGGATATCCCGCCTGCATTCCAGCTATTGCTCCCGAGGAGCGCAGGTCTCCCGTAGGTCCAGCAGCTGCAAGCCCTGTGCAGCTGTTTCAAATACTCCGCGCTGCCTAAAGCGTTCAGGCATTTGAATCACTTCTCTCGCTCATTCTATTAATCTTCCTGATGGCACTGACGACATCCCGGTGACCCTGTCAAGTTCAGGAGCAGAATTTTGGGAGAATGTTGGGGGTTTTTTCAATACATAATACAAGATTGACCCTGTATTTAAGCATTCAGACAATTTTCAATCTGCGGCTAGTGATTAACTTGAATAGTTAGACGACTGCCTGGGAAACAAGCGATTTGAATTCTTTAGTTTTTCAGGTATTATGTGTAATACAAATTAATATATGTCACACAATGGGAAGTGGAGGCAAAGAGGGCAGAATAGCCTACGTGAAGCCTGTGGCAAAATTGTCCCAGGAGGCTGCACTGCATGGATGAACTAGCTCCTTCAAATCCAGCTTCAGTCTGACTTGACATCTGAATACTACCCTGGAAAATAAAGAACACCACCACCACAAATGTGACAGGCCTGTTGGAGATTTCCAGCAGATACATAAATGCTCAGTCTTATTCTTCTATTGGCACAATTACAATGCATCATTTGTTTCAATATAACCAACTTTGTTCTCTGGCTCTTCTGTGTGCTAGAGTGTTCCTACAGTTCAGCTTCCAAGTCTGATTGACAGTCAGAAAAGAAATTCTTGTCTGCTGCAGCTCTTTTATGGGTATGTAAACGACATTATGTCAAATGGTCTTATTCCTCTAGTCTCAGAAATGTACATCCTGATGTTTCAAAATGTTGTATGTGCACTTCCACAATGGTTTGTAGCTATCCTAACATATTTAAAAAAATTTCCATTGCTATGTTCACATATGCTTTCCAGAACATGATAACTGGAATTTTTGGTCCTCTATAATGTATGAGCTTGGAATGCCTGAGGCTTCATGGGAAGATATTTTAAGAGAAGCTATTATAAGAGTGTCGCTGTTAGTCATGTAAATAAAACTTCTGTATTCAGTACTTAAAATCAAGTTACTAACATTATTGGTATTTTTCATAAAAACATAGTATACATCTTTAATACTTTTAATACATCTTCCTAACAAAATCAAACACCTTAAAGGCCTTTAAGCAGTAACTGTTTCTAAAAGGATAATGTCTGCAGAGTTCTCTACATGTAGAAGTCAATGCTGTTCTAACTGATGTCTGGTGGCAGTGTGCCTATTAATTCAGAGAATTCTTTGTCACTGGAGTGGTTTCATAACTTGCAGATATTGAAAAAAAGCCCTTAATTTTTAATTTTCAAGTAATTTTTTAATCATGATGACGGCCAAAGTAATTTTTAAATGTAAACTTCTGGTATTCTCTCTTCTTAATATGTTGGCAGTGAGGCTATGTTTACCTGGTGCGAGACTGTGCCATG